GATAAGTGTTAGTTCTCGTCTTTTACTCATTCGGACTTATCCTTCCACTTAGAGTCACTTCGGGACTCATCCTTTCAATTAGAGTCACTTCTGGACTCATCCTTTCAATTAGAGTCACTTCTGGACTCATACTTTCAATTAGAGTCACTTCTGGACTCATCCTTTCAATTAGAGTCAATTCTTGACTCATACTTTCAATTAGAGTCACTTCTGGACTCATCCTTTCAATTAGAGTCAATTCTTGACTCATCCTTTCAATTAGAGTCACTTCTGGACTCATACTTTCAATTAGAGTCACTTCTGGACTCATCCTTTCAATTAGAGTCACTTCTGGACTCATCCTTTCAATTAGAGTCACTTCGGGCCTTCGGCCCTCGTCTTCCCCTTGATTGGACTCATCCTTTCAAGTAGAACAAAATTTGAAGCACAAACTGCTTCACGAAGCATTTCTGCTTCGGATCCATAACAGGATCCAGCTTAGTCACACTCAAAAAATTCCCCAATATACAAAATTCACCCTTAAGTTCTTCGCCGGTTAGCCCGGCATGGTTAGAGACGGAGAAAAATTTCTCCTCTCTGCCATCAATTTTACCTGTCAATCATTTTTCCTCTCTCCCACTCATCATTCTCCGGGTACTGTAGTCCAGCTCTATAAATTTTCGAACATTTGTATGTTCGTCAAAATGTACCGAAAATTCTCGAAAAAAATATTTTTATATACAGCTCGATGAGAGCTTTCGAATGATATCCTATTCGGCATATCTATCTTGATTTTTAAAATTATAATTTTTCGGTCGAGAATTTCAGCCGAAAAAAATCACTCAAATTTTCAAAAAATCATATCTCGTCCAAAGTATGCTTTTTTGAAAATTTTAAAATCCTATAATATGCAGAAAAATCTGCTTTATCCAGGAAAAATAACTTCGGCCCGAACCGCCGGCAAAAATCCAGAAAAAATTTCGAAAAACCGAAAAATTTTGGGTTTTTCGAAATTTGACCCCTACACCTCCAGTTTAGACTTTTTTCGAAATTTTTTGGGCTCAAAAAATTTCTAATTTTTGTCTCTATTTTATAAAGGAAACCCCATTCCATTTCCTTTATCCCAAAAAAAGTTATTTCAAATTTAAAAATCCCTAAAATCCCCCAAAAGGGGTACCCCTTTTGAAAAATTCGAGGGGTCAAAAAATTTCGAATTTTGACCAAAAAACGGCCTATATGGTACTCTTACACCCGCTGAATCCATATCCGGTGTCAGAAAAATTCTAAAAAATTTCCCCAAGAAGTTACAGTCAATTAAAGTTTCGCGACATTTGCGAACATTGGCCATAACTTTTTCAGACTCAAACAGACCCCCGACATATTATACCTTTTTAGAACCCCCAAAAGACGCTCTACAACATAGGATTTCAAAAAAACCTGAAACGACAAATTTTGAGAATTGGAGCCATCCTTCCCTATTTTACATTGGGCCATTTTGAACGGGGTTGGTACAAAATTTTCGAATTACGACCCAAAAAATATCCTATATGGTACTCTGATACCCGCTGAATCCATATCCGGTCTCAGAAAAATTTTAAAAAATTTCCCCAAGAAGTTACAGGCAATTAAAGTTTCGCGACATTTGCGAACATTGGCCATAACTTTTTCAGACTCAAATGGACCTTCGACATATTATACCTTTTTCGGACCGTCAGGGGACGCTCTATAACATAGGATATCGAAATCGAGTTTCAATTCACTTTTCGCGATTGGAGCCATCCTTCCCAATTTTACAAGCCCCAATTTTGAACCTTTAAATTACTGTAACTTGGTCCAAAGTGGTCCAAAAAATTTGAACTAAAATTCCCCGAACTCAGCTCACTCAGAGCTTTCATTTGAGGTATCACACATGAATTGTCGATGAGTTTCGAAAATTTCGACTTTACCGACAGGGGGGGAATTTCACCGAAGTCCGAATTTTTGCCCCCCAATAAGTACCCTCCAAATTCGAATTTCGACTTCGAGTTTTTTCCTACATATATTAGCTTGCTCTAACTTAATTTCCTACCAGCAGAAATTTTCCGCTAACCCCACTCATTCAAAAGATAGCCCCGGTACCTATATTATTTAGGTACCTAAACGTGACCTCAAAGAATTCGACATAATTTTCCTAGATGCGCCATAAAAAGTTGTAGGACTAATGTACAACTCAAAAAAATTCACGAGCAAACCTTAATCAGATCTGAGTTTTTAAACCACTTTCCCAGCAAAATGATTGGCGTCCACCCCAGAAAAAACCAATACTTTTATAGGAATATATAAAAAATTTTCAAAATTTTTATTTAAATAATTTTTTAATTAAAATATTTTGTTACATATCCAAGTTCTTTGTTCGAAGCACAAAACTGAAAGTTATCTGTATGTATCAATATTAATGGATAATCTCATTATCCAAAAGAATGAGCGTTTGAGATCTAATGAGTTTAGTGTATATGTTACATTTTTGTGACTTTTTTTGGTGGGAGGAGGGGTGGTTGAGTGATTTTTATGACCTGAAAATTAATCCCATTATGTCTTAAATCTGAATTTTTTCTGGATAACGAGATAAACAATAACTTGTCAAAGTCTAGTTTCATCACTGGAAAAGGAAGAAATCTAGTAGCCTAGTCTTCCAAAATTTTCAAAATTTTCGCCTGGGCGTTGGAGAAGGAAGTCACTCACACCACTTAATCACAATCACTCAATCACCCAAGTCCCCCAAATCGCTAATATTCCTGTTGATCCCTTTTAATCCACCCAAATTCCCCTTATAACTCGACATCCTCCTTAATCCCTATAATCTTCTATCCCCCGACATCCCTCATAATTTACTAAATCTCCCAGTTATCCCTCTCAATCCTTTGTATCACTTGATATCTCCTTATAATCCATACAAATCCTCTGAAATAATATATTCCATTGATTTTCCACCCGGATTAACACTTCAAAATTCTTTGAATTTCGGATAAATTCTTTGATCCACGCATTTATTGACCTAGATGCTCTGTTAATCCTAAATTCCCTCGATAACTCTGTTAATCCCCAAATCCATTCATAATTGCCCCTAATCTCTCTATATCCTTCCGTGGGACTCAACTTTTTAGCGCCACAGGCGAAAATTTTTAAAATAAAAATTTCGGTTCCTGTTCCGGATATCCGAAATCGTCGGTTCGGATATCGGTTCCCAGGAATCGCCATCCCTAGTTTGAATCAAAATTAATCTGTCACATCAAAACTGAATAATTAAGGGGGCCTCGCGAAAACCCCCCGATCCAAAAATTATGCTTAATTTTAGATTTTATTCTGAAAACTCATAGTTGCAAGAAGATAATGAAATTTAAGTAAATTAATAAATATAGTTTTATATATTAAGTAGAATTTTCTTTTTTTATTAATAAATTTGACAAAATGCCAATTTATAAATTGAGAAAAAATTTTTGTTTTTCTTTTAATTTTTTCGATTTGTTGCCGACAAAAAAAAGAAGATATTTACAATGTAAGAATTAATTGATAGTCCGTAAGATCCACAAAAAATCCCAACAAAACAACACTTAGAATATTAAAAGATTTTTAATTACTTTTTTTTAAATTTAATTATTTTTTTAAAACAAAACATAAATTTTACTAAATAAACGAAAAAAATCTTCAATTGATTATTAAACAAAATATTTAAAAATGTAATTTTACATACATACTAAATAGCAGAGGTGGGTCGGAATTCCGATTTCCGACGTTTTTTTCCTTTCGATTTCCGAAAAAAATTTGGTTTCCGATTTCCGACAGTTCCGATTTCCGACACCTCTGACTGTTCCGACCCACCTCTACTAAATATGTAGGTATATGTATTTATATCTGCCAAATTTAAAAGAAATATACAGGTAAAAATTGTAAATTAAATATTTTTAAAATTTTTTCTTTTCTCATCTTGCTAAATTCCTCCCTTGATTAAAATTTACCATATTTCTCACCGCTATTCGAGATCATCCTTTATTTTTTTATAAACAATTATTTTATTTTTAAATTTAATTAATTATAATATCTTTCTTCTTTTTTAATCATTATTATTATCATTTTCTTCTTCGTCAACAAAAACAAATTTTGGTGAAATTGTAGCAGTTCCATTTAACATTGCCGATTTTGCAGACGAAGAATTTGTACTAGAATTTGCACAGGAAGATTTTGCTGATAAAGGGGCATCTGCTGAAGATGAAAATTCTCTAAAATTAAATTTTTTAAAATTATTTTTGATAAGTTGTTGGGTAAATGACGGTGTAAATTTTATTTTGTAAATATACTTTTAATAGGTGAAGGGAGGGGTAGGGGTGAGGAACTCTTGCTACTTACTTCCCTACAGTTTTCGATCTTCAACTTCCCAATAAAGTTTTCAAAAAATTCCTTAACCTTTTAATAGAAGAATTTCCATCAATATTTACAAGAGGTATAGATGGAGGTAAATGTCTAGAAGATGTTGATGTTGTTGTTGAGGAATCCCCACAACAACTACTAGTTATTGTATTGTTTGTTTGTCTGTTTGTTGTTTTAATATCATCATTAATATTTTTATTTGAAGAAAGTAATAAGCGTTGATTATCAACTGTTCCACCGGTATTAGAAACACCACGACGGCGACGTCCACGTCGAACAGTTATTTGACTTTAAAATTAAAATAAAATTATAGAAAAATATTATAGTATATTAGGTGCTAATTCGATATAAAAATAAGATTTTAGATTTATGAAATTTAAATACAATTTAAGGCAAATACATATACCGTATTTGCTCTATTAATCCCCCAGTCCTTTATTAATCCCCCAGGCTCTATTAATCCCCCACCCTGGAGATGGGTTGAAACACTAATCCCCCTGGGGGATTACTAGAGCAAATACGGTATCTATCTTAATTTAGAAAAGTAGATATTCTGAAAATATTTATAAATAAAACTAATATTTATCTAACTAAAAAAATTATTTTTTAAATAGTATTTACCTATTTTCTGTATTAGCATCCCTTGTATAAGCACTATATTGAAGTCTATTACCACGTGGAATGTGTAACAATAATCTCTTTAAATGTAAACGATAGGGAGCATAAATAAGTGTTGTAATTAATGGATTTACAATCTAAATTGATTAAAATAATAATTATTTTTAAATTAAAATTTGGAAAAGCATATCTTTTTAAATATTTTAAGGGTTAATTTGTTGAAAATTTAATAAATTCAAAATTATTACAAGAAATATCCAAAATCTCCCTTTTAAATTAAAATGTAATAATTTACAGGATTTAAAGTCAATAAATATAGCAATATCCAAGCAATCCAATTCATAATAACCCTTTGTTCACAACCAATATTTGGCCAATCAAATAAGTGAATTCTACAAATATTAAATATTCTGTATGGCAATAAAGAGAATGATGTCCAAGCTGTTGTTGCAAAAATAAATACGAGGGATTTTAACTAAAAAGAAAATTTTAAAAAATAGTTGATAATGAATGGATGTTCTTATAATAAGGAATATATTTAATGGAAAAGTAGAATAATTTTGAATTAGGCATAAATATTTTTATTTTTTATCAAAAACATTGAAAAAAATTCATTTTCTCTTTTAATTACTTTGCTTTTAAAAGTAGGCATATCAACATTAGCAGCTTGACTTGTTGGGCCAATAGGTGAATTTAATTTTTGTCTTGTTAGTCTAAATAAATAAGTACTAACAACTAAAGAAGAACTGACAGGTAAAACACAAAATAAAATCCTTTAAAAATAAATTTTATTTTTAATTTTTAATTTAAGCAATAACAAACATAAATATTTCATAAAAATATTTAGAATTATCAGCCATCTAAAAAAACTTCTTTTTAAAATTAAATTAAAAATCAAAAAATACTTGTAGCATACAATCAGTTGTAACAAAAACAATATTTTCCAGCCAAACATAGGAAACAAAACCTAAAGAAACCCCCCAAACACCGACACACAAACAAACAGCCCTCCTTTTAGACATTGCACGTTCGTAAGAAAGTGGCCATCGAAAATATATTAATTTATCGACATTTAATAATGTTAGTGATAATCCAGAAACTGCTAGCCCTAACCAATTACAATACTAAAAAATTAAATTATGGAAAAATTAATTTTTTTTTCTATAAGAGTTATTCTAATTAAATTTATTTTTTTTTTATTTTAAAATTAAAAATGTTAGGTCAAAGTCATTCAGCATTAATAATTATTTTAGATTTCGATTTAATTAAAAAATTGTCTTAATATTCTTTAGAAAATTTTTAACTAATAAATTATATTTACGTGTATTATGGCACAAAGGTGAACATGCCGAAGAAATGCATGTTTTCTTATTAAAAATTCATTTGGATGACAAAAAACTTTAAAAAATATATTTAAAATATTTTTAAAAGAAAACACTCTCTTCACTAACCAGTTAATAAAAGATCTCCAAAAGTCATATCTAAAAAGAATTATTTTTAATTTAAATTTCAACAAAAAACAAACTAATAATGAATACATGCATTGTATCTCCACTTCTTTTAAATAAACGGAAAGCACAAAATATCACTAATAAATTAAATAAAGTAGATCCTGTTGACGCAGCCAAGAGAAGATCGTCCATCTAAAAAATTTTTTTAAGGTCTTTCAGGGGATATTTTGGGTGCAAAATTAAAAATCCCAATAAAATTCAAAAAAAAATTTTTACCAAAGCCATCCATTCATGTTGTAAAGTACAATTTTGAATTTTCATTTTAATTTATTTTAAAATAAAAAATTGAATAGAATATTTGGATTTTTTAAATAATTATTTTAAATAGATAGATTTATGTATACCAAAAAAAAAATAATTAAAAAATCTTCATCCCTGCCCTTCCCTCCTCTTTATTTCTTTCAATCTTAATTTAAAAGATAAAGGACCAATTTTCATTAAATTGCTTCCGCCAGCCAATTTTTGGTCTTTTTTAAGAAAATTTTTTTTGAGAAAAATTAAAAATTAATCTTTTAAATTAACGCCAGGAAATTGAAAAAAATTATAGGAAATTGTAAAAAATATAATTTTAAGAAAAATTTTTGTTTTGAGAGAAACCTTAAATACAGAGAAGATTAGGAAATATTATTTCCAAATTAGGAAAAAATATTTTTAACTTTTGGACGAAAAAATAAAGAAATTTTTAAAAATTCTGATTCTAAATTTGCAAAAATAGCTATGGAATTTCTTTATCGGCTGAATCCCTGGTTGTTATTTACCATAAAACTTTTATAACTACCCTGGGTAATTATTGTTTAGATCTTCCGCTGGAGGGAGTAAGTAATCGAAGGAAAGGTAATTAATTATACGAGGTTTGAAATTTGAAAAAAATTTTAGGGCATCTGATGGGAGGGATTATTGTTCTAATTTATCGCTTGATGTAATTAATTAATTAATTAATTGAAGTGGGTAATTACGAGGGAGGGCAAATAAACAGTTTTACGGCATTTTATTTAACTATAGGTAGAATAATTCATTTCAGATTCCAAAGAACACTTATTTAGTATGATCATTATATTTATTTGTCCATTTTTCTGTCCCCAATATTTAATAAAAAATATTTAACAAAAAAAAATTCTGAAAAGTTTAAAGAACAAAAAAGATTTTTTAAAATTTTTCTAATTAATTTTTAATGTAATTAATTAAAATATTGTTAGATCTTAGTTTTACAGGTTTATCAGTAATTTTTTAAAATAAAATTCATCAATCTATGAATTCCTCTTATTTTTATTTAAAAAACAAAAAATTCTTTTCTCTCTTTCAAACTAAATAATTGCAAAATAAATAATTTATTTATAGCAATAAAATTAATTATTATTATTTTTTTATTTCGTGATGAAATATTTTTAAGAAAAAATTGTTATTAAATGGAATTTATTATATTTAATATAAATTTTGTTTTTGTACAGTTTTTTGTTTATTGTGCAAAGAATTATTATTTTTTTAATTTTAAAGTAATTAAATTAATAAGGGAATATTGATATAGTGAAAACAAACGGCTTATAAGTCTTACGATTTCATGAGCTAACAGCCCTGTTTTAAAGATTATATTCACAAATTAGGGGTAATATTCGAAAGGAAGTAGACTCATATGAAACCCAAAAAAATTTCCAAAAAACCAACTCACCGTATATTGAAACTGCACAAAACGGTCAGATTCAAAACAATTTTGTAGAAGAATTTCTTTTTCCTCAATTTCAACTGAAGAAGGAAATTCTACAGGTGGATGTAAATGATGTTTAAATTGTTCATCATTATCATTATTAATATTCTTTGTTAATTCTCCAATCACATTTAGAGTTGTTGAAGTAATTAATTGGGGTAATGAATTGTTTGACATTTTGTTGAGGAATGTTTGTGAAGAGGAGGCTATTGATAATTTTATTAAAAAAATTTTTAGAAATGAGGAAACATTCCTTAGTTAATAAATTTCATAGATGATAGCTTTTAATTGATAATTAAGCAAATAAGGGGGGTTAACAAAATACTTAAACTATTTAAACTATTTTTTTGTTATTTCATTATTTAATTTATAGAAGAAATATTTTTTTATTTAAAAAAACTTTAAAAAAGTATTACTAGATTCTGTATTTGAAGTTGATGCCTCTGAAGAAAATAATGAAAGTGGTTGTTTCATGGAAGGGAGAAAATATATAAAAAATACTTTTTGTTATTATTGTCAAAATAATATTTAACAAAATTAGCTAAAATTTTATTTAAAAATTCAAAAAAAAATTTTAAAATAAAATAAAAAGATAAGGGTAATATAAAAAAGATTTATTTAAGAAAATTATTGCCAATTATAGCTAATTCTTATTTTTCAAAAAAATATTTTTTAGATTAAATTAAATGAAAAGTAAATAGTTTTTAAGGAAAAAGAGTTTTTAATGGATATATTGGTTAATCTTGTTTATGTTTGGATGTAAATAATATTTAGAGATCGGGGTTTTAGTTAGAAAATATTTATTAAAACCCACAAGTCTAATTAAATATTGTGAATATTTGGATAAATCTTAATAATTTTTATTGGGGATATTTTTAAAATTTTTTTTTTGTTAAAATTCGTTTCAAATTAAAATAAATATATTTAGTAAATAAATAAATATTATAAAAATGAGAGAGGAAAAAAATAATAATTTTTTAGTTCAAAAAAAGTAAATATGTAAATAACTTTAAAAAACTAAAAATAAACAAAAAAGGCTTATCATTTAACAAGGTATATAAATAAATGCCCAAATTTTGATTGAAAGAAATATTACAGGAAAAAGAAAAATTGGAATGTGTTGTTGTTGATTAAATATTTTATTTTAGAAAAAGGGGGAAGTAAATAAAAATAAATAAATTTATTTTTAACAAAATTAATTAATTAAATTTTGGAAATTAAATTTTGTAAATAATTTTTTTTAAGAAATTTGACAGTTTCTTTAACAGAATATTTAGATGGATGGATGGGTGTACTTAAAGTTTAAAATATTTTGAAAAAAAGCAGACAAACAAGAAGTTATTTAAATTAAATTTAAAAAATAATAATTTGCAGAGAATTATTTTTTTGTATGAAGTGGAGGGGGGAGGGTACTAATTAAAAATTACTATTTAAAATTAAAAATTAAATTAATAAAATTTATCAACCCGAACCTAGAAGGCTCTACCCCTCGGGTTTCTACCCTAGTTTTAAATTTAAGGTAGATCAAAATTAAATGTTATTAAATTAATAAATCTCTAATTTTTTAAAAAATGTCTAATGGTAGTAGACTTTAAATTTATATAAAAATATTTAAAAATTTCATGTCGGGAAAAAGTTAAAAAATATTTTAAATCAGACTGGATGTTGTAGGAATATAGAAATAAAAAATAAAAATACCTATATTATCTTTCTTTTTTAATTTTTAATTTTCATGTCTCTGTTCTATTTTGAGGACAAGAAAAAGAATGATTTCATTTAAAATTAAACAAAAAATCTATTTTTATAATAAAATTAAAAATCAAAAAAAAAATTTTTAAGAAAAAATATAATTTGATACTTTTTAATTTCTTAAATAAAAAAATATTTAATTTCAGAAACAGATGTAAAATAAAAAAAATAAAAATATTATTTTATATTAATTTCTTTCTCTTTTTCCCTAAAAATCTTCTTCTCTTTCTTGTAATAAACAAAAATGGGAAGCAAAAACGGAAGGGTTAAAAATGAGAGAAAATCGAGAAAAAAAGATTGATTACATTAAAAATCAGTAATTTAATAAAAAAATTTTTTTATTGATTTTTGATTGGATTTGCATTTTGGTGGATCAAAAAATATTTTGCGGAGCCTTTCTATTACAATTCAAAATAAAATTTATACAAAGAAACGTTCACTTTTATCCAGAATTCGAATAAAAATCATAACTGCTTATTTTTTTCACGTACTCATACTCCTATACAAGTATAAGAACGAATTTTGGTATAAATCGAATCCCTCTCGATGTAAAAGTTATATGTACAGAGGTGTGGATAGACCAGCCAGAGGTATCGAATTTGCGGTATTTTAAATTTAAAGGTTTAAATAAGGTAGCAACCCGATCCCGTCCCCGACCTCGAAGGTTCTGCCCCTCGGGTTTCTATCCTAGTTTTAAATTTAAGTTAAATCAAAATTGATTAGGCTCTGATAATAAAATAAAAGGAATAATTCGAAAATTAGTTTTAATTATAACAAAATAATAATTAAATACATTGATGACATTCAAACGATTATTAAGAACAAAAATGAAAGAGAAAATGAAAGAGCGGGAAATCATGAAGGGGGAATATATTAAATAATTATCAATTAATTAATTAATATTTCCTTATTATGTGTTTAGTAGACACTCGTGATGATTTCTTATGAGCGCGCGCCATTGACTCTTTCGTTTCTTTTTGCTTTTCTATTTTTTCCTCGAGAAAATTAAAAAGAAATATACATAAATATATTAATTTAAAATATTTATTTTAGAGAAAATATTTAGTTAATTTATTAATATACTTTCTTCTCCTTCTCTCTATTTATTTACTAATATTTCTATTTTTGGTAATAAATTTTGACATTAACCTTTTCGCTTTATTTTTTTATCAATAAAAATAAATAAATATTTTTTTCTCGTCTTTTTCTTGTCTATTCCTTCTAAGCTACCTAAATTCATTTTAAAAATTATTTTATTTAAGAAATTTATTCAAAGTTTTATTAAATTTTTTAGTTTCTAATAATTTGCCTGAATTTTTCCTTACTTTTTTTTCTTTAATTTTTAAATTTAATTTTAAAATTCTAAAGTTCAAATTTAAATTTTAGACATTTAAATTTTGCTTTTGACATTTTGTTTTTATTTCAAATTTTCGTTTTTTAAAAACTGTTTCATACTTTGTGTCTGTTCTTAATAAATTTAACTTAAATTACCTATTATTTACTAATTTTAATATATTAATTATATATTTATTTTTTCAAAAATAAAATTTATTTAATTGCAATAATTCATTTTCGGCAAAAGATCAGAAGTAAAACTTCAATCAGTTTCTAATACGTAAATACCTATTTTTTAAATATATAAAAATAAATTTTAATTTATTGTAAATATTCTTTACTAAAATAAAAAACCGGAACATTAAAAAAATAAAAAGTTGTTTAAAGAAAATTAAAAAAAAGTTTTTAAATTATTTAAATATCAATGGGGGCCTCTACAAAAAACCAAATCAATTTATAAAAATTTTTGTAATAAATTAAAATTTCAATTAAATTAAAGGATTTTCGAATAATTTTAAATTTAATTTTTTTAGTTTAAATAAAGCTGTAACCTCTAAATAATCTTATAGTAATATAAGACTCGTCGTTCTTTCTCCAAAAAAAATTTTTTTCTAATTTATTTATTTTTATTTTGTTTATTAATTTAACAAAAAAATCTGTAAATAATTACATAATTATATTTTTGTATGTTTTTGTATTTCTTTTTATTTCACACATTCAAACTTGTCTTCTTTTAATTCATTGTTGCAAACAACCCCTTTTTAATGCTTCCAAAAATATACGCAAAATAATAATTTCTAAATAAAAATAGTAGTATTATATATTTTTATTTATTCCCCTTATTTTTCACGTCCTTCCAAAATTCTCTCCCTTAATATGTAAAAAGAATTATATTTGCGCTCTCATTGAATATAATCGAAAATCTAATCGAAAATCCTCTCTTTATCCTAAAAACGCATAAATTGTGCAAAATAATATTTTTATTTCATTATTATTTTTTGTTAAAAATATTTAATAAAAATATTTTTTTATTTAAATGATTCCCAACAATAAATATTTAAAAGAAGGAATTATTACAAGAATATTAAGAATAGGTGTTAAATTCGCTCAACTAATTACTTCTTTATTTTTGGTTTGTTTAAACTTAATTTAATATTTTATTTTAAAATTTTACTTTAAAAAATTATTTTTACATAGAACATAAGTAATCTTGTGGATAACCATTTATTTATTTTTCTCATTTTAAGGCCATAGCTTTCTAATCTTAATTTTTGATAGATTTTGGTAACAACGCTAGATAAGATAATATCTAAGATAAAAAATATTTTTTATTATTAAATTTAAACAAAATTTTAGACAATTTCTATTTACTATATTGGCCCATATTGGATTTTTGTTGCAGCCTCTTTGGCCATTCCTCTTTATGGTTATTTTTTCTTTAAAATTTATTTAAACAATTAATTTTTTAAAAGGTTTATTCCTTGTATTTCGATCACCCGAGCGTATTTTACATACTCACCCACTCCCTTTTGTTCGAAATAAAGCTTTAGAGAGATCAAGACGGTGGTTACGTGTTGATCTATCAATTTGTATAACTATGGTCTAATTCAATATTTTTAAAAATTAATAGATCTATAATTTAAAGGCAATTCTCTGTTTTTTACTTTCAATTATTTTATTTATCGGCTATTTAGTAGAGCACACAATAAATATATTTATTTTGAGCGGAGCATCATCATCGTTACTTTTAGCTGTATTATATGGTTTAAATATATTATTAAATGTTCGTAGTCTCCAAATTGGGAAAGTTAATTTTGTGGCAGAAAAAGTAAAAAAAAAATTTTTTATGAAATACAAAATACCATAAATGCTCTAATTGAAGCACAGCCTCTAATAGAAGCACACCCCATGAAAGGATCGAAAAATAGAAGCACATTTGCTTCAATTAGAGCTTTTACGGTAGGTAGTTCTCAATGGAGGGGAGGAGGGCCGAAAATAAGAAGGAATTAATTGGGAAAGGTTAATGACAGATATCTCACTCAAATTATTATTGAAGTTAAAAAAGTATTTTAAATAATTTAAATCAACAATCCCCTCCCCAAGAATATCAACAACTTGGGCAAGTACTCAAAGTCCACAACCAGTTGAGAATTTAATAAATAAAATAAAGTATTTTATTTTTAAAGCCATCAACTACTGCTATATTACCTCCAATATCTAGCAATAATAATATAATATTTGAAGGAACTTCAAGAGAAGAAGAAAATTGGAGGGAAATTCCAATTAAAGTAATTTTTAAAAATAATTTAAAGTATTTTTTTGTAAAAAAGATTAAAACATTTCCGGTTTCTGGAGAACAAATTATTGAAGAAGAAGATTGCCTTAGAGTAGAACAACGCCAACGTACCCCATCTGGCGAAAATGTTGCTATGATTTTTGGAAGGAATAAAAGTTATAGACAAAAAGAGAAGAGTGAAAATGGGTAGTAAATAGTTAGTTTAAAAAATAATTTTTAAATTTAAAGAGAACAATCAAATAATTATGGAAGAGCTTCAACAACTACAAGTCCAATTTATAATGAAGATATTGAAGGAGAAGGATATTCTCGTCCATTTAAAGGATTAAAAAGAGAAAATAATTTTTTGGAAGGAAAATTTTCAAAAAATTATTTAAATGAAGAAAATGAAAATAAAATCAAGCAACTTTCCCCTATTAGACGTAGACGTAGATATCAGACATCAACTTCCTCCAAAAATTTTGAAGGGAGAGAGGAAAGTCCAACAGCTTCAATAACCATTGAAAGAGGTATTTTACTATTTAAAACTTTAATATTTATTCTCTCACCAACTATTAAGTATTATGTAAGTGAGAAAGGAGGTTAAGTGAGAGAATAAAACAAATTATTTTTAAAATACCTAACTTGTATTTACTTCAAAAAAATATTTTTCTTTTAAATTAAGCTAGTAGCTCTCCTCCCTACCAACATAAGCATTACCTCGAGGAAAATGAAAGAATTAAATTATCATCACCAAACGAATCAGCTACTACTCCTACAAGTCCTTATTGGAAACATCAAGTTACAGAGCTTTAAATTTTTAAATTTAAATTTATTTAATGATCTCTATTTTTTAAAAAAATATTTCTTTAAAAAATATTATTTTTAATTTGTACATTTTTATATAAAATTTTTTCCTTTTTTTCTTAAAAATTATTTTTTCCAATAATTTATTGGAAGCCTTAACACACAAATAAAAATATAATCCCCGCGCACACATTAAAATCCTTTAATGCTTCCTTTTTGGCATTTAATAATTTTTTCTTATTGAAAACATGAGAGATAAAAAATATTTAGTAAATTGTCTGTTGTCACTTGCTATACAAAATTGTGATAAATAAATAAGTAAATACTTCTTGACTTGAGATTTATTTTAAAAAACAAATTCATTACCATCTAAATAATTAAAATATTGAATAAATAATTAATTTTTCTAAAAAAATATACTAAAATAAAATTAAAAAACTATTCATCTCCTTAATATTTTTATTTCTAACCCGATATAAAATTTTCCTCATTTTCTCTATCCAATCTTGACAATGTGCATAAAGCCTATTTTTACTATTATTATAAATATTTATTCTAAAGCTTTGTGATAAATTATTTTAAAAACTTTAGAACTTAAAAATATATTAAACAATTTAAATATTTTTAAAAAAATATTCAATATAAATAATTAAAATTCTTCATTTAAATTTAAAAAAGAGAAAATGTCACAAATAAATACAACAGACAAACCACCCCCTTCTTCCCCTCTTATTAAACCTCAACAATCACCTTCACCTACCCCTAGTGGCAAGAATATTAAACGTTTTCGAGCTGCACATGCAAGTTTTCGTCTTCGAATGGTAATTATTTAAATAATTTTAAATTAATTAAATAATTATAAAACAACAAAATAGCTTCATGAACAAAATGCTCCAGTAAGGAAAATAGAACCGGTTTGTTTTGAAGTTTATAACTTTTAATTAATAAAAAGCAAAACCAAAGTTTTAAAAATAAAGGTAATTTAAGTGTAATAAAGTGTGTTTATTATAGAGTGTTGATTAAATAGAAGGGTTTTTAATTAAAAATTAAAATATTTTTTCATCAAACTTTCTCGTATATAATTAGAGAAAAACAAAAATATAAAGATGCCCAAGTCTCCAAAAAATTTTCCCTTTTTAATGTAAAGTCACTAAAAGTTAATCCTTTAACGTTAAACCAAAAATATCCTAACCATCGTGATACCAAGGAAACTAAATAAAAAAATATTTTTATATGTCTCCTCCTTCCGGATAATCAAAAGAAGGAAAATATTGTGTTTGTATTAAAGGTGTATTTATTTAATAAATAAATTAATAAATATATTTTATAAAAATTTTGAAAGAAACAATTATTCTTAGAAATATTTAATTGTGCTCAATTACAATATAAAACAAGAAAAAGGTAAATATTTTAAAAATTAATCGTATAGTTTAAATCGTATAGTTAATTAATCGTATAGTTAATTATTTTTTTAATCGTATAGTTAATTAATCGTATAGTTTTTTATATTTTATTAAATGATTAATAAATGAATTTAACAAAAACTCTAATCCAATAAATAAAAATAATTTTAATAATTAATTTTTAAAGAAGCTACAGGACAAAATTTTTGTTCTCAGCTTCAAACCAACAAAAATTATTTATGTCAGTGAATGAAGGACCGTGAATTGCGTTTTGTTGCTGCATCAAAGCACAGTCGTTTACATCCTATAAGAACATTAAAAAGTGTTCCCTCCTCTCCCATAGAAAAAGAATTAGATACAAAATCACCTTTTGATTTACGTCGAGTACTTAGTGGAGGGTAAATGTTAAAAAAAATATTCTTTTTTTAAAAATATTTTTCAAGTCAAAGAACCTCAAATATACGATTTGCTTCAAATCGTTCCTCTTATCACTACACGGCGCCCTTTCAATACCAACAATATTATCCCCAACAAAATCAGCTAGTACCACCACATACAGCACCGCCAGCATTTCATTCATATTCAACACTTGGTGTTGATATTGCTGTTGAGGCTTTACGCCGTAGACAGCGGTTAATTCTGCTTTAATTCCCAAAATTAATTAAAGTATACTTTAAGAATTTATCGAACAAGTTCAACCGGTGCACCATTCCCAGCAGCTATACCTCTAAATTCTACACCACTTCATCCACTCTCCCAAAGAAAACGCTTCCTATCTGCTTCCTGTGTTGATCAACGTTTAATTGAGCGCCCACAAAGAGCTTTAACTATTGCTATGGGACATTGGGATACTTTAAGAGCACATTTAAAAACGCCAAAACATTCAACTGCGTCAAGTCTCGGCCCACCTACAGCAAATACACAACAGTGCTTGGGGGTAAGTTTTTTATAATGATGGAATAAATTAAAGTTAAAATACATACTTATTACTTTTTTATTACTAAAATAATATTATTAATTAACAAAAGTAGTGTTAAAATAACTTAATCGCTTAAATATGTTGTTTAACTTTTCATAGGGAGGTATTTGTCGGGGAGTATAATTCATTGAGAAAATACTATAGGCCCTCTAATTTGAATATTGATGATTAATCTTTGATAAATTATTAATCACTAACTTTAATCTCTAATGAAAATTCAAGTTGAGAGTAATTTTAATTAAATCAAGCGTTAAAAAATGTAGAGAAGGAAGCTTTAAAAATTAAAGAAATTAAATTAAAAAATATCGATTCAATTTTTTAAATAGTTTGAAACGGTAGTGCCAAAAGGCAGTATTGCTTCAACCTTTTCATGCCCCGCACAAGCAGTTACAATCGCCACAACAGGATTAACTGGCACAATAATAGCTGTTAACTTTTAATATATTTTTAATTAATTTAATATTTTTAGTCACAAGGAGGGGGACAATCCGGTGGCCTTTCAGCTAGTCCAGCAGTTACTTCAACAGCTTCCCAGCAATTACAGCATCCATTCCCTGCACCTAAAAGCAAATTCAAAATGGCACATGAATCCTTTAGGGCCCGAATGCTGCAGGAAATGCAGGATCAGGAGGCCGTGAGTTTGTACTATATGTGGAAACTCTCTAGCATTTTAAAAATCTTTCTATTCATTGTGTAAACAATAATAATTATGTAAATTGTTAAGAGTATATTAAAGATGTAAATTGAGAAAAATAATTATTAAAATTATTTTTATTGGGCGTAAAAATGTGTAAATGAGCTGATAATAATTAATTTAACCTTTAAATAATGTAAATATTATTTCAAAAAATATATTTAAAAAGAGTAAAGACTTTGGTTTTGCTTTTTTTGTTTTTAAAAATTATCCATAAAAATTAAAAAAAAATTATTTTTTGTGTGTAGGTGTTCATGACAAAGAAGAGGACTGCTGATAGCAAATCGAGCGAATTTAAGGGCGGTGAGCTTCATTCTTCTTCTCCTTCTCCTCCTTCCAATTTTCAGCTACTTAACCAACAAACTAATAAAAATACAATTGACTCAGGCGATTTCAACAAGTACACGGCGCAGAGCTACACCATCCGGAATGGAGTGGAAATCTTTGGGGGTAAGTTATTTTTGAATGAATAAAATGAAAATTAATAGACATAGGTAATCCCCCTTCCTTTCCCCTATATTCTATCAAGTTTAATAATTTTAATAATGAAAGCTAAATCTTAGTGAAGATAGCAAAAATATTTAGCAAAAATATAGCAAAAATATTTAGTAGTTAATTTGTATCGTTAAAATTGGACAAGTAGGTAGTATAGTGGAGATAATTCTGTAAATTTTTAAAATACTGAAAAAAATTCTACAAGGAAATACTCCGCACACTTTTCTATAACCTCCCCATTTATTTTTGTGCTACTTTTTATAAAATAATCTACTGTTAATTCCTATCACTATTTTACCTAGCTAAATCCAGAATTAGACTTTTGAATATTTTATTTAATATTTAACCTTCTTTCCAAATAATATTTTTAAAATTATTTTCATATTTTTGCTTACCTCAAAATCAATTAACTTTTACTTTTTTTAAAAAAACTATTTTTATGTTCACATTTAAAAAGTAAATTATGTAATTATTAGTGTGGGATTTGGAAAACAAAAAATAAAAATAATTATTATATAGGTGGGAATTGAATGAAAATAAATGTTGGAAGGAAAATAAAAAAAATAAAAATACAAGTTGCAATAAAAATAAAAATATTTAAATGTGTACATGTAATTATTTAAATAATTTAAAGCTTTAATAAACAAAAAATTATTTAAATATTTCTTTAGTGGAAAATTGTTTTTCTTCTCCGAATATTTATTTTCTAGATATCTTTTTCTTTTTTTGTTAAGAAAAGTAGTTTAATGTAACGAAAATTCAATTTTATATAAATATCCCTCTTACACTCTTTTTTAAATTTCATTTTTTCCTTTGAGAATAAGAAAAAACTTAAAAATAGGTAATTTATATATTTTTATTTAAATTTAGTTTATTTTTGATTTTTAAATTAATTTCTTTAGTTTTTATTTCTCTTAAAATTATTTAATTATTTTTTAATTTTTTTTATTTTTATTTAAATTAATGGCAATAGAAAGGCCAAGAGTTAGAGTTGAAAATTTTCGTCATTTTTACCCCCGTTTAAAACAACAAAATATTAATAGAAGGGACAACATAAATAAATCATTTACTTGCAAATATTATAATGTTTACGATAATTATGATGAAGGTAGGGGAAAATAAATATTTTAATTAAAATAGGAAGTCCTTAATTTGATAAGGATTCGTTTTTCATTTTGAAACTTCTCATAATTTGTAAAAATTTCAATGAGAATTTTAATATTGTTTGAATTCTTTTAAATTAATATTTATTATTATTTTCCAAATCCTCACCAATTTTAAATTATAAATTAATTAAAAAAATTTAAAGAGAGATTTAAGAAATTAAAAAAATATATTTTTTATACATTTACTTTATATCCAAAAAGTCCTCCCATCAAAAATATTTTTAGTAAAATAATCCACGAAAAATAGGAAGTGGGGGAACAAAAGGGTTTAAATATTAGAAACATTTTTGACAATTTTTGGAGAAAAAAACAATTTCAAAAAAAAATTCTTAAATTGTCTTGCTTGTTTTGACGAAGATTTTTTGACTTGAAAATATTTCTAGAATAAAATAAAAAATGGGGATTAAATAGAAGATGTGCTTATTTTAAATATTTTTAATTTAAATTATAAATTATTTTCTGTTCAAAAATTAAATATTTATTTTTAAAAATTATTTTACACATTTAAACTTATATTTAAATATTCCAAATTTTTTGTAAACGTTCTCTTCTTCACCTTAATTTGTTCTTCTATTGTTTTTTTTGTTTTGTTCTTCTTAAATATTTAAATAAACAATTTCTTAAAATATTTATCAACTTAAAAACTTATTCCTCCCATATTGCAAAATAAAAATATTAATAAAAAAATCTGAACATCTGTTGCTACAAATATTTTTTTGTTAAAAAATATTTTATTTTTAATATTTATATTGACACTTTTCGAATTAAAAAATTTTTAAAAATTATTTTTAAATAAAAAAATAATTATTTATTTAATCCTTTAAATATACCTAATTTATTTTTAACTACCAGTTACTTCTTTTTAAAGTAAAAGCCACAAAAATAATACCAATAAAATGAATCAATCATTTGTCTAAAATTATGAAAAAATATTTATTTTTTATTTGCTTTATATTTTCCCTAAAATAAATTAATTTTTTAAAGTAAACAAACAAAATTTGTACAAATTTTTTCCAAAGTTTAAAAATATATTATTATTATTATTTAAATAGTTCATAAAATACTATACAAGTTCTGGACATACCAACACATTTATTACATATTTTATAACAAAAAAGCAATTCCAAAATCTTTTCTATTTTTTCCAAAAAATTAAAGAAATCCTTTTTTTCATAAAATTACTTTTTTGTTTTATATTTGCTAAACTATTCTTTTATAAAAATTAAAAAATGCTTTATTCTGCCCCTGGATCGCGAGCAGATTCACCAACACAAGATTTAATTTCAAATGCAGCAGCATCTTCTCTTCTTAGTAGACGTCGATCAGGGTTGGGCGAAAAAATTATAAAAAAATTTTTCTTTAATAAAAAAAACTCAAGAAAATTTTATAAAAATTATTTCTTTTAAAAAAACATCGCCCAACCGTGGTCGATCGAGTTGGCCACAACATCAATTTCATCATTTACGTCGACCTTCATTATTTCCCCCATCAACATCCACATATTATCCCTCCCCCCATTCTTTGGGACATAGACGTTCAATTAGAGAGGCTTTAGAACAAATAGAATCTGGCCAATTAATTCCCCCTTCAAGGCGCCAATCACTTTTAGCAGCATATTCACCAGCAGGAAGTGCAACATTAAGTCCTTTATTAGGTGCTAGAGGAGCTGTTTCTACTACATTAGCTCCTTCTCCAGTTGGAGAAAAGTTTTCTTTTGGAAACGAGAATCAAATTGAAATTATTGAAAGCAATAATGTACTTGGAAGGATGTCTATAATAACAGGTATTAAAAAGGGGAATTTAAAAAATATTTTTCTAAAAATTATTTAATTTTTATTTTTTATTGAATTTATTATTTTATTTGCTTGTATTTCTTAATTTTTCAATTATTTTAAATATTTTTTTCGAGATTTGATCAGATAATTAATAGGAATTTTATCACTAAATGTCGAACTACCTTTATTACATATATTCTATTGTTTTAGTAAATGTAAATGAACTAAGGAATTGAATTTTAATCAAAACTTTTTCAATATCAATCCTTTTAAATTAAAAATAAAAATTTTTTTTATTTTTAATTACCAACCTAAAATTAAAAAAATATTTTTGTTAAAAGTTCAAATAACCTTTATCAAATAAAAAAATTTAAATAAATATTTCGCAATTCTAAATCCATCAAAATCAGATGACAACTCATTCATTTAATTAATTAAATAAATCATCACCCCTTTCTATTTCATAATTTAGAGTTTTCTTTCTCTCTTCTAGAGAAAAAATTTAAAAATATTTATTTTTTAAATTTTCTAACCTCTCTTTCTCTAAAATAAACTAAACAAAACGCTTACTAATTAAATTATTTTTAAGTAAATTTTTGTAAAAGCTGTTTAAACTTTTATCTTTTTGAGTGAGAATGGCAAGAGAGATATTAATTTTAGAAAGGATTTTTTTGAAAGAGATGTGGCTTTTTAAAATAAACTGCTAGTTTGGTGAAGCATTTAATTTTTCTAGCCAGTCATTTAAAACCATTTAATATTCCTCTAAAAATCCCTAAATTAATTTTAATATTTCTTTAATCAATTTTTCTTCAAAAAATTTAAAGAAGTTTGTAAGACTAATGTAAATATGCTCAAATAATTACCCTGGATAATTATTGTTTCAACCTTTAGTTAAAAGGAGGTAATTAATCGAGAGGGGGCTATTATTTTCGATAGGGTAATTATTCGAGCATTTAATGTCTAATTCAAAATTAATTCTTAAAATTAAATTTAAGGCAAATGTTTTTACAAAACCAATTGTTTTTGGTTGTTCTTCTATTAGCAATTTCTCTTGTAAAAGGGGTAACCGAGAATAAAAATAAAAGTGGAATAAAAAATGAAACAACCACAAAGGCAATTCAAGCATCAACTGGAGATTATGATGATACCGAGAAAGCAGACTATGGCGATTTGGCTGCAGAATTGGCTAAACTTGTTGAGGAGGAAGATGAGTTAAATAAAAAGAAAAATGCTTTGAGTTCGGAGAATAAAAATAAAAATAGCACAGGGAAGCCTTATATTCAAAAAGATAAAAGTAAAAAATATGAGGAAGAAGATAACGGAGAATATGAGGGAACTCGTAGAAATAAGTATGATGTAGAGTCTGATGAAAGTGAATCAAGTTCAAGTTCGGATGAGGACTTAGATGAAGATAATTTAGAAAGATTGCCAGGGCCTTCGCCACACAATGAAGGAATTTCTAGGCGAAGAATTGAAAAGGAAAAAGGTGGAGAAGAGGAGGAGGTGGAAGAAGAAGAAGAGGAAAATCCTAAAGATAAAGAAAGCAGAAAGAAAAGAAAAAACAAAAAAAATCCAAAGGATGAAAGTGAGGAAGGTATTTCTTTTGATGGTCAAATACCTAAAAGTGTACGTAAATTGCTTAAACAATTAGCAGCTGGTGGAAAGAATCCTGTAATTATACCTTTAATTATAAATAACAACAATATACCGAATCGAAGAGCTGAAGATGAGTCCGAGGAATGGAAGAAAAGAAGACATGAAAGACCTCATGGAAGACAATTAGATGATTGGAATAATCCGCCGTTTTCTCCATTCTTTCAGTCTTCAATGTTTCAACAGCCAATGTTTCCACCACCGTTTCCACCACAACAACAGCCACCTATTGGTGTCCCTCCGGCATTTCCTCATCCCTCTAATTTTCTTGGAGGGCCTCTGGGAGGAGGTCCTCCTGGCAATCTTCACAATACAAATCCATTTTTATCACAATTAAATCGTGGTGGAACTCCTAATCAATTTCCCAATCAACTCTCTAATCAAGTTCCAACTTTTGGACAAAATCAATTCCCTTATCCTCCACAACAACAACAACCAAATCAAGTCAACCCACAGGAAGGAAAGGGCAATGATGTGAAAAAAGTGAATTAAACAAAAAAAGGAATGAAATTTCAATTAAAATAAAGTAAATCATTAAATAATGTGATTAATATGTAAACAATTTAAAAGGATATTTTGTCGAAAAATATTTCAAAGTTTTTTTTTGATTTGGGTTTTTATTAAATAAACGCATTAATTTTTAATAAATATGTAGTTAATAAGAAAATTAATACAATGTTATAAAATAATTATTTAAATTGGTAAATCGAATTTTGATAATAAATTTCGAGTGATTATCAAAAACATTAGCTATAATTTATCTTTATAAGAATCTCAAGTATATTTAAAAATTATAATTTAAAAAATAATTGTTTTATTCTTCTAATTTAAAAATTATTTTTTTTATGAAATTTAGAATATTAAAAAGTAAAAAACCAAAATAATTAGGTATATTTTAATCAAAAAATCCCGACAAAATTAAAAACTTTTTTCATTCATTTTTCCTCGAATAAATAACAAATTTTAAATAATTAACGCTTCTTTTTGTCTTTTTCCATAGGATCAAAATAATATTTATTGTCGTATAATTTATCATATTCATAATAATATTTAGAGCCTCCAAAATCATAATTGAAAGGTATATAATCATTCATTTCTATAATATTTTAAATAATTTCTTAATATTAATTTTACTAATTTTAATTAAAAAGACTAAAATAAAGGTTTTATTATTCATAACCTCCCTTCCATTCCTAATCTCAGAATTTCTCTTGATTTTAATTTTTATAAATTCCATTAAAATTTAAATTTTAAATTTTTTGTTTTTCATTTTTTTATTTTTTAGCAACCTTTATTATCCCATTTTTGTTGTTGGTACTGTTTGTGTTGATATTTGAATTGATTATAATAATCGTCATTCATTCCATATATATTTTCTTGTATTTCTTCTCCATAATTATTTAAATAATTGTTTTTACCAAATGGAAGATTCCAATTTGGTTCTTGAATCTGTTGGTAAAATCCAAAATCCAAAAAAGAGTTGTCTTTCAATGGAGGATTTTGTTGATTAAATCCGAAGGGTAATGGCTCATTGTTTAATTCTATTCAAAATATATTGGACAAAAATTAATTTAATATAAATTATTGGTTCTTCCTGTATTTCTCCGCTTAATTATAATTTCTTGTCACATATACTTACAATACCCAATTAATAATTCCACTCTCCCATTCTATATAATTCGCAATAGTATACCTAAGCTTAATCCTCAGTAAAATTCTGTTTCTAATTCTTCAATATATTTAATTCCCTTATTTCCAAAAATTCAAAGGAAAAACATATTTTTTTATTAATAAATCAAAAAACCTTCATCCGGATTAAATAAATTAAGATAAGAATTATAGGTTAATTGTTGAGGTTGTTGTTTATATTCATTAAATTTTTGTTGAATATTATTTTCTCCAAAATTATCTTTTAATCCAAAAAATTGTTTTTTGTCTATTTGTTGTTTGTTGTAATTATTATTATTATTAAATTCATCACCGAATTTGAAGATTTGCCTTTCCTTTTCTTCAATTCCAATTTTCTTTTCATTTTTATTTTCTTTCTCAATTTCTTTAAGTTTTTCAATTTCTTCTTTATCTTTTACCTATTTTTAAATTTTTTAATATTTTTTCTAAATTTATTTTTTACAAACCTCATCACTTAATTCTTCACTAAAATAACTTTCTTCTACTCTCCCCCAACGTTTATTTTTAATCTCATTATTTTCATTATTTATTTCAAACAATTCTTCATCCATTTCCATCTTTTCTTCATTTATTTTATTTTCTTCTACAATTTGCTGGTTTTGTAATTTATTCGCATTATTTCCTCCATTTGCTTTAAATTTGCCTTTAATATTCTCTTCCTCTTCTTCTTCCTCCTCTTCTTCATTCAATTTATTTATTCCAACTTTCTCTTCCATATTTTCTTCCCTTTCATCCACTTCATTCATTTTATCAATTTCTTTCCCTTTTGCATTTTCATAAATATTTTCTTGAGTATCTTCTTCCCCCTCTTCATCCATTCTGTTTACATCGACTTCATTCATCTTAACTTTCTCTTCATTATACCCATCTTCATCTTCATCCTTTTCATTATTTTCCTTAATATTTAATTGTTTCTTCTCTTTAACTTTCTCTTCCATCATTCCTTCTCTATGTAATTCCAAACCTTCCAATCCGTTTTCCTCATTTAATTTTTTATCATTATCTTCTCCAATCACCACTTTTCTTCCATTTATTTTTCCATCCTTATTTCCTTCATCAACCTTTTTATCAAATCGCTTCAATTCTTGTCCTTTTGTTGAACTTTCCAAATTTTTTTCTTCTTCTAACCTAACTTTAATTAATCGCTCTCTATTTATGCTTGATCGTTTTTTTCTAATAATATCAGTTTCATTATCAACCGGAGCAACAATATTTATATTATTAATATTTTTACCATTCGTAGTTTTCCTTATTTCTATTGCTGATTTCTGAATTTTGTTGATTTCTAAACATTTACAAACATTTAAGAATATTATTTGTAGAAAGATTAACAAAAATATTTTCATAGAATTAAGCTTTCTCTAAAAATTTGTTTTTATTTTCTGAAAAATATGAATGAGAGATTTTATTTGAAAAAAAATAAAATATTATTTTTTGGTGAATTGCATGTGTAAAACATTCCATCCAGATTTAGATTTTTTTTTTGTAAACCTCAGATACAATAAAATGCGCTTATAGTATTTTTGCCAAAATTAAAGCAGAAAAAATTGCCAAAAGTAAAGCAGAACCTAAAATAGTGTTATTCCCTCAAAAAGAGAGTGAAGTGATAATAAAAACTGAAGGTATTGAGGGGAGTAATTAAATTTAAATTATTGTCAATTTAATTCATTAACAAGCAAACGTAAAGAAGCTCAGTATATTGCTACGTGTATTCATTAACGTAAAAGATATATTAGATAGATTTTTAAAATTGGTAAAATAAGTAATTTATAGAATTTTGGCTTTTTTTGTGTTTTGTTATTGAGAAAAAGAGAGAAAAATAATTTAAGTTGGATAAATAAAAAGCCTAATAATTATTATTAAAATAAGCTGCAAATTATATTTTTATACCCGCTAATTATGATAAGTGCTCTATCCCGAAAACAGCATTAAGTCCTTTAATGATCAAGTCCTTTAAGGATTCAATTAAGTCCTTTAAGGATTTTAGAACATGGTATAGTCAATCCCAACTCTTTTTCAGCTTTCTTAACGTTAGCCCATCCTTCACAAATTATTTTACTATTTATCCGTACATATTCGAATCTTTTTAAGAATTCTCAAATTAAAATTAAATATTTTTAGCCAACATCCACAACGAGTTCGGCGTCTGCGGTTGGATCCTCACCATTCTCTCCTACATCCTCATATTCTTGACACTACCTATATCGGCTTGTATGTCAATAAAGGTAGTTCAAGAATATGAGCGTGCTGTCATCTTTCGACTTGTAAATTTATTTAAAATTGTTTTAAATTTAAATAATTTAAAGGGGCGACTTCTTCCCGGCGGCGCCAAGGGTCCAGGAATTTTCTTCATTGTTCCCTGCATTGATACTTATAGAAAAGTTGATTTGCGTGTACTTTCTTTTGAGGTTTCATAGAAAATGTTCTCATAATCAAATAATTCTACTTCAGGTCCCTCCACAAGAAATACTTTCTAAAGATTCTGTAACTGTTGCTGTTGATGCTGTTGTTTATTTCCGGTAGAAGATATAGAGAATTTTCCTCTTATCCCTTTATTTTGAAGAATTTCTAATGCAACAATTTCTGTAACAAATGTAGAAGATGCTTCTCGCTCCACAAAACTTTTAGCTCAAACAACTTTACGAAATATATTAGGTACTAAAACTTTAGCTGAAATGTTGAGTGACCGTGAAGCTATTTCCCTTCAAATGCAAGTAAAGAAAAATAAAAATTTTAAAATTAATTTATTTATAAAAAAGGCAACATTGGACGAAGCTACTGAACCTTGGGGAGTAAAAGTTGAAAGAGTTGAAGTTAAGGATGTAAGATTACCTATTCAATTACAACGTGCGATGGCTGCTGAGGCTGAGGCCGCACGTGAAGCTAGAGCGAAAGTATTTATTTTTTGGAAGTATTTCAAACAAAAATTAAAATATTTAAAGGTAATTGTTGCTGAAGGAGAACAAAAAGCCTCCCGCGCTCTCAAAGAAGCAGCAGATGTTATAGCAGAATCTCCCCAAGCAATTCAACTTCGTTATTTACAAACATTAAATTCTATTAGCGCTGAGAAAAATTCTACAATTATTTTTCCGTTTCCTGTTGATTTACTTAGTGCTTTACTTCATCAACAGCAACATTCTACACAACAAACATCATTATCAACACAAAATCAACAACAAACACAAATACAGCCTATTAATCGTTCACCTGTCCACAAAACTAATGTATTTTCAACTGTTGTTGCACCAGCATCACAACAATATCAAATGTAGGGGGGGTTTAAAATTATTATAAGTAATTTAACCGTTAATATACATATTAAAGTTAAATATATTTGGAAAAAGAGGGCCTCTTATTTAAAAAATCTTTAAAATAATTTTTTTTATTTTTTAGGTCACCTGGTACTACTTATCATTCAACCATTCATTCGTCAGATAATACTTCTTCAAAAGCTAATCTTCTTTAATTTTGAAAATAATAATTAATTAAAATATCATTAATATTTACAAATATATACACATCAAAATTGTATATTAGAGATTAAATTATGTCAGAATTTTAGAGTTTCTATGTTTTGTTTAGTACTAAGTTATAGATTACTTTGAAGATTTAATCTCTAATCTATTATTATTTAATTTAATAACAATTAAATTAATATTTAATTTTAAAGCAACCGAATAAAATTTATAATAATTTTAATTAGAATTTTTATTATGAATATACTCCTCTATAAAAGCACAAATAACACTATTTACATTATCCCTTCCTTGTTAATTCTTCTTCCATGATCTCTCAACTCTTCTTGAAGTCTTTCAATTATCCAGCCTTGCCCCTCATTTTTGTGTTTGTCTACACCATTTGCTGCTCGACAACGTTTCTAGCAATTTGTAACAAAAAGAAGTCTTTAAAAATCAAAAAGCAGAAGGTTGTCAACAAGAAGTCGGCAAGCAATTCAAAGAAGAAACAAAAGACAACTTATTATGTTGATGGGGCTAGAGCAATTGGAATGCTTCGAGAATGTGAAAAGAGATGTGAAGTAACTATTGAAAGTAATTTTAATGGTTGAATTTTTAAATGAAATTTTTAAATTTTAGAAGCAAGGCACAATTATGTAAGGGTAATGGACAAAGCTTATGAAGATGCTAGAAGGGAAATTGCTGAGTTTAAAAAGGTGAATTTTGGAAGAATTTTCTGTTTAACTTTAATTTTTAGAAGAGAGAGGAGCAACACCAAAAATATGTTATCAGACTTCAGAAAGAAGAACTCGATTATGCAGCGATTTTGGAAAATAAAAATCGGGCAAAACTTCGAGAAATAGACAAAATGGTTACTAAAAACCGTGATAATGTGAGTAAAAATAATTTGAAAAAAAATAATAAATTTAAAAATTTAAGGTAATTGATGATATAATGAAGGTTGTTTTAAAAATACAGCCAATAATGCATCACAATGTGCCGGATTTGAGAAAAGCGAAGCAAATAAAAAGGTTAAAAATTGATGAAATGTGTCTATTACACGATTAAAATTTTATTTTTCAGTTCCTCCACTCAACTAATTTCCAAACGGCCAAGTCAAACTTTTTCGGAAAAAAATCAACAAAGAGCCAAAATTCTTCCTATTGTAAGAAAAATTACTTACAAAGAGCCTAGCATTTCTTCCGAATCCTCCACTTCGAGTTCAACATCAAGTTCAACCTCTTCAGAATTGTCTACAAGAGAGCAAAATAAAAGCCGTCAGAAAAGTCAAAAGGAAAATAATCGAAAGAAACAAAATAATATTTCGAAGAGAAAAAATAATTAGTAAATGCTTAGAAAATTATATCTATTGTAAATGTAATTTTGTATTCTAAATATTTTTGGTTTTGTATTATGTAAAATATTAAGTATTGAATATTTTTTTCTATGTTTTTCTAAATACTAAACTCCCGATATGAATCAAAAATATATGTAAATATCTGTTAAGTTTGATTTTTAAAGATCATATTAAATTTAATTCTTTATATTAAGTATCAGACATTTAATTATTTACATTTAATCTTTAATTTTTGGTTCACTTTTACTAATCACACATATCGATATATTTTTCCCACCATTATAAATCATCAAGATGAGCAGGAGATTTTCCAAGTTGTCTTTTAAAAAATTAATATTTAATAAACAGAAAGGGTAATCCAGAAGGTCAAAACCCAGAAGGTGGCACCTCCCGGGTCAGTTGATTTCCTGGGGGTGACTTAGTGGGTTTTGATCTTCTGGGGAAACAGAGAAAAAAAGAGATAAAGAGAAGAAATGTTTATACACGTAATTTAATTCTTTCTTTTTTAGTTAAACACAATGAAGGGATTTATTATTCAAATAAATTCTTATAAAACTTTATTTCTTTCATTTTATTCACATTTAATTAATTTGTCAACAAAGAATTGTGTCGCCAAGAAACCAAAAAATATTTTTAAAGAAATTGAATATTTAAATTATTTTTCAAAAATGTCCTCTAAAATCCATCCAATTTGGAATTTGGAAAGAATAAATGGACAAAAATTATTTAATCGATTAAAAGAAGAAGAAAGTTTGGTGGAATGTACTGAATGTAAATTAAAATTAAAAATTTTGAATTATTTTGACGTTACAAATTTAATTAAACATTTATCTTCTTCAACACATTCAGAAGCTAATTATAAAGAAAAATTTCAATTTTTAATTAAAGAAAATTGGGGAAATTTTGAAAATGGAGGAGGTTTTTTGTAAAAGAATTTTTAATTTAAAAAATATTTTTTAAGATCAATTCGATCCCCGTCCATGGGAAAATGCTTATGAAAAATTGGAAGCTTTTCAAATAAATTTTAAATCAAAAGAAATTTCAAATAAATTAAAAGGAGCTTTACAGACAATTGAGGAAATTTTGGATAAATATAGGTTTGTATTTGGATAAGTAGAGGGAATTAAATACAAAAAAATAAAAATCGGTAATTTATGGATATCCCTCGCCCCCCTTTTTTTTAAATCTAAAAGTTACTTTTATTTTTCCTCCAATCATTTATTTTTTTTCAAGCAATATATTTAAGTGAAAATTATCTGAGGAAGTCTGACAATTATGTAGAAAGAATAACTTAGGAATTCAAACAAGGGGGACGAGATATCCATAAAATACCTAAAAATTAAAAGATTATCGAAATATTTAGCGAAAAAAAAAGAATTTTAAACAAAATTTAAGACAAACCTTTTTGTGAATTTTTAATTTAAAATTTCTATTTTTTTCAGTTTGGAACAAATTTCTCTTTCATTTAATGGCGGAAAGGACTGTACTCTTTTATTACATCTTTTTAGAGCTTGTGTAAATAAGTAAAAAATATTTTTTAAATTAAAATTTAAATTTTTTTAATTTTAAAGGAAATATAATAATCAAAAACAAATAAATGGATTTTATATAAAAAGTGATGATGAATTCCCAGAAGTTGTTGAATTTGTTAATTCAATTTCCGAAAAGTGGTTTTAATTTTTAAAATTTAAATAAAATTTTAAATTTATTTTTTAAAGATATAATTTAGAAGTTCTTGAATTGGAAGGGCCGTTAAAAAGTGGATTGATTTGTTTAAAAAATAAAAAGCCTGAAATTGTTGCTACTCCAATGGGTTCTCGTTATAGTGATCCTAAAGCTGCAAAAATGAAATCTAAATGTGAATGGACTGAAGAAGGATGGCCTTCTTTTTTAAGAGTAATTTGTTATTTTTTTAATAAATTGTCAAGCTTTTAAAATTTTATGTAATTGTAGGGGGGTGGATTTTTGATTAGGACGTTTCTAGTTTTTAAAATTCAATTAGGATTAAATAAAAAATGGGGATGAGCGACCTGGTTTGTTAAAGTAAAATTTGTGTCCTGGCTAAAATCTCTCCTAAAATAATTTGTAAAATTAAAAGAATTACTTCATTTATTAACTCAACTTTAATTTAAAAAATAATATTTCTTCCTGTAGGTCTGTCCATTGTTGGATTTTAGTTATTCTGATATTTGGATTTTATTACGTTATTTATGTATTCCATATTGCTGTTTATATGATCAAGGATATTCTTCTTTGGGTGAAAGGAAAAAAACTGCAAAGAATCCACATTTGAAAATAATTGAAAATGGTGAAGGAGAAAGGTAAAAAAAAGGAAATAATTTGAACTAAAAAAAATTTACCTTAAACTCTAAGAAAAAATTTTTCCAAAAAATTTATTTAATTATTTTACAGATATTTCCCTGCATATATGTTGAAAGATGAAAAATCTGAAAGAATTTTTCGTGAAGATCGGGTCTCTGAAGATGAGTGTGTCTTAAAAATTAGTTGAATTATCTCATTAAGTTAAATGTGAAATTTAAAAATTGCTCGGTTTTTTTTATTTTTATTTTGGTGATTTTTAATTATTTAAACGAGACAAGCTTTGGATTTTGCTAGGAATAATAAATTTTATTCTTTTGGAAATGGTTCCCGAAATACCAGACACTCATAAGCTGCCAAGATACAAAACTGGAAAATAAAAATGGCCTTTTTTTAAGATTAATTTAAAAAATTAATATTTTGGGTTGAAGATTCGAGTGAAAAGTTATTTATAAATACATAATTTATTACTTTCAAGCAATTATCTCAATTTAAGAATATCCTTTTTGTAATTTTCTAAAAACATTTTTTTGTTAAATTTAACGAATTTATTTATTAAAATCATTATGGCAAAGAGGACAATTAATATAAGAATTAATTTCTTTTTGATAAGCTCTATGTTTGCATTTTTTGCATATCCAAAATTGTGCTTCAAATATAGGACGGCCAGTAGCCACACAAATAGGAGGGCGATTGTTACATTTTAGATTGGGGCAAACAATTGAATGATCCTCAATTTTTGCATCACAATTGGGGCATTCTACATAATTAACACGTTGATCTTTCGGCTCATTTCTTTAAAAAAATATGTTAAAAGGAAATATTTTTTAAAAAAACTTTAAAAATATTTGCATAGCTAAACTAGCATAAACTTCTTGTTCTTCTTTCGATATATTCTGCATTGCTTCTAATTTCATAAAAGCTTTGGAACAGACACCATAATATTCAGCAAGATATGAAGTTAAAGCTTTTAAATATTGTTAAAAATAATATATACTTCAATTACCTAATAAAGAATAAACTTCCATAGGATCTAATAAATCCTCATAATTTGTAAGGGTTAAAGCTGTTTTGACTGCCGATACATAATCACTCTTATATAAGTGTGAATGGGCTAACATAAAAAAATGATAAGCTTCCGCACCTCTCCAAGAAGTATCTATCATTCTAACTTCTTCCATACTTAAATTATGATCACTAGCTAAAAGGCCATCTAAAGCTAATGATGAAGACTTTAAAAAAATTATTTTAATTTTTCTTTAAATTTTATTGCATACCCCTCCACTTTCTTCTTTTCTTTTTGCAATTTTTTGTCGGTTTTGTTCATAATATTCTTCAACTAAAAGAGCCCCCATTACATAAAGTTTTTTTAAACGAAGAGGGGGTGCTTGTTTTTGATGTTCTGAATTCGCTACCTTTAATTTTTTAATGAATTTTTTATTAAATTCCTTTTCATTTTTCACCTCATAAACAATTTTTGCAGCCTTCAAATATTTAGCCGCTTTTGAATAAAGCTGAGCGATAGCCAAATTTTTTGTTTTATTTCCCACAATTTGATGTGCATATTGATTAAGTAAATTTTCAACGTTAGCAAGATGATAACGATCAGAAAGTTCAGCAGCTCGATCCCATTTATTTAATTTAATACAAGTTTCGAAAGCATCACTTATTCGATTACACTTTAATAAAAATGATTTTTTTGACCATTAAAGGTAGTGTATATTACTTTTAAATAACAATCCACAGCTTGTTCACAAAGTCCATAACTAGTAAATGTTTCAGCTAATTGCTGTAAATTTATAAATATTTATTTTTCTTTAATATTTATTTTTTATACATTTAATACTTCATGGCCTTCAGGTAATTCCTGTCCAAGTGTTTCCATTCGAGCGAAATCATCCATCATTAGATAACAACGTGCTAATTCCGAGTAACTTCGAGATTGTTCGTAATAACGAGCGGCACTTTGCCTTTTGATTTAATTACTTTTAAAATCTAATACATATAGATAGAGGAAACCGTTTATATGTATAACAAGTTCCATTTTTTGAGGGGCTGATAAGTGGTTATAGTATAACCGTTGTGGATTATATGTATAACAGTAGGAAATAACAGAGAGCACAGAGTATGTTACTCTTCTCATGTCAACGTTCGACTTTTAGGGATGTCAGTTGGGGCTATTTGAGTCTTAAACGGGAACATTGATGAGTATCGCTTATTTTTGTTTAAATTATCCTTTGTAAAACTCTATGTTTGATAACTAAAACTTAAAAAGACCATTTCTGTCTTTCAGCAAAATAATCTCCAACATGTTGCCATGTTTGTTGTGCCAAAGCATCATCTCCAGGCCCATTTGATGTTTGTAAAATTTGTTGAATTCGAAACCAATCATGCATTTTCTTTAACATATCAATAGCTAAATCTCTTTAAATTTTAATTTAAAGTTCTTTCTTTCCCTTTATTTCCCCTTCAAATCTCCTTTTCACCTTCTATCATTCTCAAAATAAATTTTTTCAGCCATTTCCAAATCACCAAGAAAAACAGAAACTTCAGCTCTTTTTAAAGAATCAGAGTGAATATTTTGCAATCTTTTAAGAAAAAGTATTCCCCCATAATCTTGTAATTTAACAAATGCATGTTCTGCTGTTCGAAGGTCAAGTCTTTTAAGGGCGTCTTTTGCCAAAATATTCCTTTAAAAATAATTTTTTTATTTGGAAGTAGTTAACAGCCAGTCACCGTCGCGGCTTTTTACTAATCCACTACCCGTCAAGTGGTGGAGGGGTCCGACAAAACCAAAAGGGAGAGAGCATGCCGCGGCAATGTTCAAAGGGAGTGGGCACTGTCGCGGGGTGGAGGGGTCCGATAAAAGGGAGAGGGCATGTAGCGGTAAAGATCAAAGGGAGTGGACAATGTCTCGGGGTGGAGAGGTCCGGTAAAAGAAAATGCCAATAATTTAGGGAAGAGGGGTAGACAAAAAAGTCAATATTTGAGGGATTTCCTCTTCACCTTTTCATTTCGCTGCCCCACGCCGTCTCTATTTGCCTCTCCCTTCTCCTTACTAAATGTGTATGGGTGATTAGTGACCAGTAAAATTTCCATATTTTCATCCCTTACTTTTCCTTTCTGCAACAGACAATCGATAACATAAGACGCTGCAACAAACTTTTCCTTCCTCATTTTCTAGTTTTAGTCAACTTATAAGGTCAAATAACGTTTTAAAATTTTTTAGATATTAAATGAAAAATAAATTTAATTATTAAATGTCAACTTGAGAATTCCTAAAGGTTTTAAAATTTTATTTTATTAATTTCAAATTTTTATTTTTAGAAGTCGTTCAATTGCCAATATGTGTGTTAATCCTGAAAACTCAATCCTTGGAGGTAAATTGTATTCAAATTATTTTTTAAATAAATCGTTTTTAATAGACTATTGAAAATGCTCTTCGAGACGCTCTTAAACAAAACATCAGTCAACAACAACTAAACTTACTGAATCAATTAATGGAATGGTATAAGCTTTTTTGAGGCTATAGAAGATGGGGAGAAGTGAATTTTTTTAATTATTTAAAAAAATTTTTTAACTTATTTTAAATTTAAATAAAGTGGGGGAATAATTAGGGGGCCCCTATTGTGAAGAATGGACTGATTTGTTTATGGTATGAGGGATGGGCCCAGATCAGGGATGGGCCCCTGCTTGATTCCAATTTGGGGATGGGTCCCTGCTTGCTCCCAGATCAGGGATGGGTCCCAGACAGAATGAGATTTCTCATTCTAGGATGGGACCCAGACTTGAGATGGGATCTATGTTAGGACCCAGACTCGAGTTGGAGTCTATGCAGTGACCCAGACTTGAGATGGGCCCAGACCTTTAGGGATGTGTACCTATTGAAAGGGATGGGTCCAGATCAGGGATGGGTCTCGGGACCCAGACCCGAGATGGACCCAGACCTGCAGTGTATGGGTCCTACTTGGAGGGATGGGCCCAGATCTGGGATCCTACTTGGAGGATGGGCCCAGACTTGGTGGTTTTTTTTGTTCAAAAAATACCCTCACTTTATTTAAACCATTTTTTAATATAATTTATTTTGTTTTCATTTAATTTTTTATATTATTTTTTTATTGTTTTTATTTTGAAATAAATTTTTATAAAAAAAACTTATGCAATTTTAGTTTTAAAAGTAGTAAATTTTAGGGAGAAAAGTGCGCATTTAAGAAACTGATGAGCATAGTTTAGAGTTTGAAATAAGTGATTTTAGGGAGAAAAGTGCACAATTAAGCATTAGAAATTGCAAAATGCATAGTTTAGAGCTTGAAATAGTTGATTTTAGGGGAAAAAGTGCATATTTAAAAAAAGAAATATGCAATTTTTAAATTTTATTAAAATTCATGAATTTTAGGCATGCGCGCATGTTTTGGGTATGTGCACGTGTTTCGAGTATGCGTGTGTGTTTTTAGGGGCGTGTCAGTTTTAATAATGTTGTAATACACTGAAAAACCGGGTATAAAAGGGTGGAGATTTTGAATTTTGTATCATTATTTCACAATGAATCAAAATTTGTTTTCCCAAATCCTCCCAGAAGTAGATTTCAATATCTCTTCCAGTGGAATTACCGTTCTAAGTTCCCGACTTACCACTCCAAGATTTATTCCTTATGATCAATCAGGGAGATGTAAGGAGTGTAAGAGTACAGAAGTGGAAATTGACTTTATTGTGACTAAGGAAGGGATCACCATCTACTGTACACGAATTGGATCAGGTACTCGACTTGTCCCGTTCGATACAATTTATGATTTACCCACGCACTGCTTTTTCAAAATCAAAAATAAGGGACGAGTTTTCAATGTCCCTCATGGAGTACAACCACAACAAATTATCCATCAAAATCCAAAGAGAGGGAAAAGAAAGTACGAGGAATTGCCTTCTCCTACAACTTCTCCTCCCGCTAATTTGTCCTCTTCTCAAATTTCCCATACTCCTCTTGTACCTCCAATTGATTGTCCAAATGGTATTTCCAATACCTCTCGTCCTGATACACCTCATGATAATGTAGAGTTTGAGAATGAGCTCCAAGAATTTTATGATAGTTTAATGGCATCTACGACTGGATTAACTTCATCGCCGAAGAAGTTGGAAGAGTCAGAAGAGAAAAAGGATGATACACATGTTCCTATATAAACTTTAGTTTTTTAGCGTAAATATTTTTAATTATGGAATCGAAATCATTTACTAATAAAGATTTGTATTTTAAATTACCATTTGGTATGATTTTATCTGGTCCAAGCTCTAGTGGGAAGAGCTCATTCCTATTGAAATTTATAGCAGACTCCCAAGATTTGATCGATCCCCCTCCAAAAAGTGTACTGTATTGTTTTGGGGAGATGAACGATAATATTCCTCTCCTTCAAAAATCTGGAGTTAATGTATATGCAGGAGTTCCCCCAGAGGAGCTGATAAAAAGTTATTCAAAACCCTTACTCCTAATTCTAGATGACTTGCTCCTGTCTATAGATGAAAAGTATTTGTCGGAATTATTTACTAAAAAGTCCCACCATCAAAATTTTGCAATTGTTTTTGTAACCCAAAACCTATTTGAGAAAAAAATGAAGGTCGCCCGCCAAAATGCTCAATATATTGTCTTGATGAGGTCGCCAAATTCTGCACTATCTGTGAGAAATATTGGAGTACAGCTATTTCCTCGTCAGTTGGACTATTTTCTTGATGCGTATAAACAGGCAACTAATGAGCCTTATGGATATTTGCTCATCGATTTGCATGCATCCTCAGACCCTGCGCTTAGACTCCGTACCCGTATATTTAAGGACGACGAAGAGAAGATAATTTTCATTTCCAAAAATGTTTAGTCAATTAATTTGTGAGAATAAAGATTTTTTGCGCTCTTTAGCGCTTACAAAATCCGAAAGGAGATATAAAAAACTTTTAAGGAAGGCTGATACTAGTCAGTTGTTATCCATTGTTGAAATTTGTTTGAATATTGTAAAATCCCGTTTTAATCTTAACACTCGTCAAAAGAACCGTTTATTACCATATGCAGAATTTATTCGTAAATTGAGTCGTGCTAGGAGTGAACGGGGAGCAAGAAAAGTTTTGAGGCAAAAAGGTGAAGGAGTAGGAGTATTTGCTGCTCTTCTCACTCCTATTCTAATGGAACTAGCTCGAGCAATTACTATAAAAGCCTATCAAAATAATTAAAATCAATCATAAATGGCAAAAAAATTAATTCTTGTTCCAGAAGAGATTTATAGAGGGCTTACTTCAAATAATTATGGGGACCCACATTTAGATTACACAAAGAGAGCGGTGGAGAATGCTAAAAGTAAAAAAGAAAACCTCTCTGCCAAAAATATTCATTATAACCAAGAACTTAGACGATATCTTAAACTAAGGAATGAAAGTGAAAATAAACCTGTTAGAGTTGAAATGGTAGCTAACCCCAAAGGAGCAATTATGAATAGAGATGTTATTAGACCCACAACAAATATTACAGACGATAACGATGATTTATGGATGAGCGATGATTTTTCTTATTCAGCGTACCCACAAGAGCCGCCAGCCTTATCATATAATATTGTTCCTCCTCTTTCAGATTCTTTAAACGAGCAAGTAGACCCCAAAGGTCGACATAGAAAATTATTAAGGAGCGGAATTTCCCCCACTCCTCCTACACTTAGACAAAAAATCAAGAGAAAAATTGAGGAGGATGATTATGGACAAAATAAGAGACGACATTTGAGTAATTACAAAAATGAGAGAAGAGATGAGTATATGAAACTTTCTGAAAAAGCTAGGAGTAGAAAGCAAAATTTAGAAAGGAAAAATTTGCTGAAAAATTGGAGAATTCCTTATACCCCTGAATATAATGCTCCTGTTGATGATGATTTTCCTCCATCTCCTCCCATCCCAACTATTCCTGAAGGTCTTGATGCTCCCCTTGTATCTGACTCTCCTCCAACTAGACAAATTACAAAAAGGGGACAGTCAGAAGAGTTTGAGGGTACAAAGAGATGGAAGAAAGGATATGATGAACACCATGAAGCAAAATTAAAACGTGAACAGAAAAGAAGGGAATATTTAGAAAGAAAATTAAATATTAGAGAGCAAAGGGTTCCAATTGATCAATCAGCGCTAGTTAAAACTCGTAAGGACGATGATATTCGAAGACGTCTAAAATTAAAAAGAAAATGGGAAGGTCCAGACGAAAGTCCTCTAATTACCCTGAAAAAAGTAAAACCTGTCACAAAAATTCAATCAGCAAAAGCCGGTAGAGAATGGATGTTAAGACTTATAAAGGCTAAACGTAAGGAGGCTGGTATAAAAAGATTTAAACCAACACTTTGGTAAAAATGGCAGACCCCACACAACTATTACATCGACTTTATAATGATCCAGATTCACCTGCTGCCTTTTCAGGAGTTGATAGACTTTGGTATGAGGCACGTAAAATTCTCAAACATTTACCCAAAAAAGTTGTTCAGGATTATTTGGAAGGGCACAGGACTTATACACTTATGCGTCCAAAAAGAATCCATTTTAAAAGAGCAAAAACTGTAGCGGCTGGTTTTATGACTGATGTACAAGTAGATTTGGCTGATATGCAGGCACTCTCTAGGCATAACAAAGGAAATAAATATATTCTCCTAGGGGTTGATGTTCTCTCTAAACGACTCTTTGGTGTACCAGTTAAATCTAAGAGCTCAAAGGATATGTTAAACGCATTTAAACAACTAATTGGTCAAATGCCCATGAAACCTCATAGGATTTTCTCTGATAAGGGATTGGAATTTAAAAATAAAACTGTGAGAGAATATTTTGATCAAGAGGAGATACAAAAATTAGAGGCTACTCATTCAACAGTCAAAGCTGCTGTGGCTGAAAGGGCTATAAGAAATGTAAAGCAAAGACTATATAGATACTTTGCTCAAAATAAGTCACTTAATTGGGTTGATATTCTGGAAAAAATTTTAGATGGAATAAATAAGTCAAAGAGTAGAGTGCATGGACTAAGACCGATAGACATCGATTTTTCCAATGCTCAAGAGGTGTGGGAGAGAATGTACGGTAATGAGTTTTTAAAGAAAAGAAAGTCAAAATTAAAAGAAGGAGATTTTGTTCGCCTGTCTATTGGCAAAAGTGCTTTTGAAAAGGGATATATTCCAAATTGGGGAGACCAAATTTTGCGAGTGGATAAAGTCCAGGATCAATTTTATCCTGTCCGATATAAAATTATTAATGATAATGGAGACAAATTCAAAGGATATTACTACCGAGAGGAGTTGGCACGTGTGAAGAAAGATGCAGATACAGAGTATAGAATAGAGAAGGTTTTGAGAAAGAAAAAGAGAGCAGATGGAACATACGATATTTTAGTAAAATTTATAGGTTATCCTGAAAGGGAATGGATCCATGAAACCCAACTTGTATAAAAGAGGGTTCATTTCATTGTATTTACCTCATTTGAATAAAAATGTCAAATAGTTTTTATGTATGTTTGTTGAGCAATGTCTCTGATTATCCTGATAATCAGCCGAATAAATTTAGGGTCCACTTACCTAAACCCCTTTATTTTTCTGGTGATTGGGTATGCGGTGTACACAGCATCAGTTATCCATATTCATGGTCATCAACCATTGGTACACTTGATGAGCAATGGATTGATATTAATTTTACAGATAATAATAAGAAAGGTCAAACTATACGAGTTCCAGTCCCAAAAGGGTCACATAATACACCTGAAGAAATTTTACAATTTTTGATTTCAACTTTGAGACATCAAAGTTCAGCTCTTGATAACACAGCTCTTGAAGAGTCATCTGAAGGGTTCTTTGATAAACCAACGATTATTAATAGGAGAAATAAACGCCAACATGAGGAACTAAAGGACCTCACACCATATAATGAAAATGAGGAAGAGAATGAATCATTAAGGTCTCTCTCCCCTTATCAGGAGGATGTCGAAGAAACATCACCACCACAAAAGAATAAAATTAATTTAACTAAACAGTCTGAGAGTGAGGAAGAAAAAGAGCAGTCAACGAAGGCACAGAAAAATGAGGATAAGAAGGTAAATGAACAGGAGCAGAAAAAAGTGGAGGAAAAAGTGGAGGAAAACAAAAAAGAGCAGCCAAGAGAGGAGATTAAAAAGGAGGAGGAACGGAAAAAGGAAAAGTCAAAAGTGGAGGAAAAGAAAAAGGAGGATAAGGTGGGAAAAGAGCAGACAAAGGTGGAAAATAAAAAGGAGGAAGAGAATGAAAAAGAGAAGCCAAAAGAGGTAAATAAAAAGGAGCAAGAAAATGTTTTGAGTGTTCTAGGAGTAGGAAAGAAGGAAGAAGAGATAACACAAGAGAAACCAAAAGACTCATCTGTTTTGAGTGTTCTAGGAGTAGGAAAGAATGAAGAAGAGAAACCAAAAGATACGCCTGTGCTAAGTGCTATAGGATTGGGAAAGAAAGAAGAGAAAAAAGAAGTTTTGAGAGAACTTTCTCCATACAAGGAAGAAGAACCATTACCATCACCTCCTAAGAAGGAAAGAAAAGAGGATAATTCTACCAAGGATAATAGCACACAGACACCGAGTGTTTTAAGTGCTTTAGGCTTGGAAAGAAAAGAATCGTGGACTCAAACACCATCACCACTATTAGAAACTATTGGGTTAAAACCTAAAGAAGGAAAAAAAGATGTTTTTGATATATTGCTGGGAAAGGGGAAAACACCATATACAGCTACTCTTCTAAAACAAATTATTGATTCAATATCGATTAATTATCTTGCTGACTTTAAGAGATTTAAATTATCCTTTACTCATTCTAGTATCAAATATGTATCATTTTCGCCTCAATTGGGATATGTTCTTGGTTTTGCAAATTCACAACATGTACAAAATAATGAAATTGCAAAATATGCTTATGATTTAAGAGGAGGCTTTTCAAGCTTTGCAATCTATGCAAAGGGACTTACTGAAAATATGATCGTTGGAAATTCTCTAAGTTCTCTACTCCGAATAGTTTCTGTCTCAGGAGCAATACCTGGAGAGTACCACGAGAAAATTTATGATTCTCCCATCTATGTTAGAGTGCTCCCCAGAGAAGTTAATGAGATTGAAGTTGAATTAAGAACGATGGATAATGGAAGACTTGTACCATTTGCTTACGGTACAGTAAGCATAGTATTGATTTTTAAAAAAGTGATAAATTTTTGAGACTATATAAACCCTCATTTTCTGTCGTTATTATTTTATTTTTGATAAAATGGTTCATGTTCAATTTGATACAAACTCAGTCGGGTACAATTTTGTTTTAGATCAATGTGGGAGTGGTACGGAAAATTATTATTTTAAGGGAGCATCGCCATACCAGAGGGGGTATGGGCAAAGAGGAGCAGGAGTAGGGGATATTATGAGAGGATTGTGGAGATTTTTTCTCCCTATTTTACGTAGTGTTGGGAGTACAGTATCTTCTGAGGCACTCAACACAGGGCAACGTATACTTGAAAGAGTTAACCAAGGTCAGCCGATAAAAGAAGCTTTTATTAGTGAAGGAAAAAGAGGAGTAGACAAGGTTTTAGAAAAAGGTGGACTACCAAAACAATTTGGGACAGGAAGAAAGAGTATAAAAGGAAAAAGAATTCCCTCACATCAAACATTTATTGGTCAAAAGAAAAAACGTGTAGACGCTTTTGGATTTTATTAAAAATGTCATTTAAAAAGATTGATAGAGATAGCCTTGATACAATTACAAACGCTGTAGAAATTTTTCAAGTTCCTCCTACCAATGTTACCATTTCATCCTCAAAAACATTTGAAATACTTCCTAGTAATCCATTAACCGACACCCCCTTTCATTTTAAAATTCATTCGAGTGAAAATTTTATTGATTTATCCAAATGTTACCTATTCACCGAATTTCGAATCCGCAAAGAAAATGCGAATGGACAACCTGTAAATATTACTCTTGACGAAAATGTTGCTCCAATACAAATGATTGGAAATACTTTTATTAATAATATGAGAATAAGTATAAATGGACGCGAAATATTCAATTCAAACTCTCTTTATGCCTATAAGACGTACTTTTCCCATGAGCTCTCTTATTCGCTAGGAGCAAAAAGTTCTCATTTAAATTCTGCCGGGTATTATTATGATTCAGGTGTATCACAAGAGGCCGGAGCAAGTTTTAATTCAAGAAAAAATTTGTTTGTTAATAGCCGAACAGCGCAATTTATTTCAAAACTTGATGCTGATCTTTTCAATCAGCCTCAATACTTGGTAAACCATTGTGAGGTTGATATAGAAATTTTGCCCAATGAGCCAAAATTTATTCTTATTGCTCCTCTTCCTGTCGGAGCTCAACCTACACGTTATATTTTCGAAGTGATAAGTTGTAAGTTATATGTAAAAAAGTTGGACTTGATGGATGGTCTTGCTTTAGATATTGCCAGAAGACTTGATGTTAAACCTGCTCGATATGCAATTAGAAAAACAATGATGAAACCGTTATTTATCAGTCAAGGAAGATATGAGTTTCACGCTAATTTGTTTATGGATCAAATCCCTCGACGAATTACTCTAGGATTGGTTGCAAATTCTGACTATGTAGGGACACAAGAGCGGAGCCCTTTCAATTTTCAACCTTTTAGAGTAAGAGAAATTAGTATTATAGCGAATGGACGCTCATTTCCTCAATCTCCATATGATTTTGACTATGCTTCAAATCGTTATGTGAGAGCATTTCATGACATGAATGATGCTATAGGATTTTCTGGTACACCGGATAATAATGGAATAACATACCAACAATATGGAAGAACACACTGTATCTATGTCTTCAACCTTACAAACAGTGGTGAGGATAATGGCGGAACATTTGATCTAATAAAAAATGGGTCAACAGCTGTAAATATTAAATTTAGTCAGGCTGTTCCAGAAGGAGGAGTCATGCTTATAGTAATGGGAGAAACAGATGCATTAATAATGTTAGACAAAAATCGATCAATAACAAGTGATACTACTATATAAACTCAAAATTGTTCATTTTCTATTCATTTTAAATAAAAATGTTTTTTAAAAATATTGCAAAAGTTTTATTATTAATTCGAGTTTTTACTCCTTGTGTTAATACTCTAAGTACTGACGGGAGTGTAGATGTTCAAAACCTTCCAGAATATAGGGAATATTTACAAAGAATGGGATATCCCCCAAAGAGGAACATTACTGTTCCAAGTATATCTGCTCCCCCTATTTCTGCTCCTCAACCTTTTGGTAGTCTCCCTCAAATTCAACTATGTAAGGAGTCACCACAAGATATATATGGACATATATTTTGTTGGGGAATGATTTGTATGTACATTCTTCTCATTATAAGTCTTGTTATTTATCAATTTCGATCAATACATTGGGTCAGATTAAATATTTTGCGAAGAAATGTACAGCAGCCAGATAACTCAAATTTTGAGATCAAACCCAAAGACGAGCAAAATTTTCAAGGGATGCTTCCCATGTGACTTGCTCCCTACTCTTAAAAAATATTCGGGAGCTTTTATTGTTAATTTGGACTCTCATGATAAAGAAGGCTCACATTGGATTACTCTTTATGTGGAAAAAGATGAAATATTTTATTTTGATAGTCTTGCATTAACTATAAGCTCATGTATTGTTAAATCATTCCTAAAAAATTTTAAAATTGTAAAAAGAAATTTTATTCCTTACCAATCACCTTATTCTAAAACATGTGCACACCACTGTATTTCCCTAATATATTTTCTATCCCGAGGATACTCTTTTCCCAAATATTTAAATTTATTAGAGTCAATCAATAATACAGATTTATTTGTAACTAAAATTGTAAACAATATGATAAACAATTAATTATTATGTATTTCGAGATAACTTTTTGTAATTTTGAAACAATCTGGACAAAGATAAAATTCATATTTAAAATTATGGTCATTTTTTGGTACTATCATTTCGCACTGCATACGGCTCAAAACGAACTTTAGACAATCATGGCACCATTTTCCGGCTCTGAAGTAGTTTATGAGTACACTTAACCTTGCTCCCATGTCAAGTTGAGCGCCATCTTTGATAGCCTGACTCAATCCATTCATATATTTCCTCTTGTGAAATTCTCTATATTCACAAGTTCCGTGCATAAACTTAATAAATTCTTCTTCAGGAGAGGAGCTCATTTTTGTAAAATTTTTAAAATGATTAGAGAAAATGTTTGGAAATCAAAAAATTTGACCTATTTATCAAAATGTAAACTTTCAAAATATCAAAAATGGGGGTATAAAAGGAGAGGAATTTTTGAGAAAAAATCATTTCATAAAAAAATGAATTCTCATTCCTCATCTAATAAAGTAATTGACGAGTGCACTAGAATTTTGGGGTGCTCTATAAAATCTTTAAGAGATCACCTCAATCATCCTGATAACCATGTGCTAATTCTAAAGCAGCTCCTTGGTCGTAAGGTTCAAACGACCTATGAAGATAAAAATGGCTTTAAGAAAACTTTTCTTATAGATGGCCTTACTCGACATGGAGGAAATTCTCTCGTAGCTTATGGAAGGTTACCTTTTCCATATAATGTGAGTGTTGCTGCACACTTTTATGCTCGTCACCGGATTCGCCTACGTTACCCATACCTACAATGCATTATTGAGCGTATTCCATTTGGAGGAGAGGATCGTTTTTATCCTTTGGAATTGCTTGAATTTGTGGAAGAAAAGGAGGATCGATTGGCAAGAAAATGGTTGAATCAACTCTCCAATGATATATCAAACAAACTAACGATATCAGAGGAGCCAAAGAGTCCAATAATTATTTTGAAAAAAGATATTTGGTAATTAATTGTAATTAATTTAGTTTTGAATAAAAATTTTGTATAGTCAAAAATACATGCTCCCCTAAGAAATACACGCGCATGCCAAAAACATGCACGCATACATAAAATTCATGAATTTTAATAAAATTTAAAAATTATATTTTCTTTTGTTAAAATATGCACATTTCTCCCTAAAATCACCAATTTCAAACTCTAAACTATGCTTTTTTGCAATTTCTTTTGCTTAATTGTGCACTTTTCTCCCTAAAATCACCTATTTCAAACTCTAAACTATGGTAATCGTAATCTTAATTATGCACTTTTACCCCTAAAATTTACTACTTTTAAACATTAAAATTGCACATTTTTTTATAAAAATTTTATTTCAAAGTAAACAGTAAAATTGAAAAATAATAAAATGGGAGGGAGGGGGAGGAGACCGGCTTCGCCATTCGACTCCTTCATCTAACTCGACCAGGGATGTTAGAATGTCCGCTACCACTGTATCTCAATGAGAGGTATGCCTCACAACATGTGAATGGCACATGTTGATAATCATCGTAAACAATGAGAGGACGACCTCACAACGTGTGAATGGCACACTTGATATTCATTGAACAATGGTTGGTATAGAGAAAATAAGGAGTACCCCTGACTACTTTCCGGCTCCAAGAAATATTGTGACAAAATTGACAAAAAAATTATGGGGGTGAAATACGTGGATGGCGATTATTTATAAATCCATAATTGAGAATAGAAAAGTCAGAAGGGCGGATAATTCCCTTACTGACTACAGGTTTATACAATTTATGTTGAGGCTGTGAAATGACACGACCATCTTTAATTGATGGTCGCAAAAAATTGGGGTAAATTATATCGATTGGTTTAACTTCTCCTGTTCTAGCATAATTAATTACCTGCTCCTTGAATGTGTTGTATTGCAATCCTTGATTGTTGAGCACATCGTAGTTGAGGGTCATTCCTCTAACTTTCAGAACATATTCAGCTTCTTTTTGTCCTTTGCGTTGAAGTTTGAGACCATACTGTTTCGCTCCTCCACAGCAATATTCCAGTATATTGTGAGAGGAGTACTCATCGGTTAAATCTCCCAGGTGAGGGCCCAAAGGAAGAGGACATAAGTTTATAGGATGAGCAAAAATTAGGGAGTCGGTGTCTGTGTAGAGCAAAGAGCACCCAGGAGAACGAGCAACTTTTTGCATTGCTCGGAGCAAATGAATTCGCGCTGCGGATGTTGTCCATAAGGAGATGACAACATTGGAGCAATTGTGCTCCTCAATCCAATCTTTCTTTTTGATGTAAGAGATGAGTAGAATATCTGGTGTGAGCTCATCTAAGCCAGTGATTTCAATTGATTTGTCGTTGTAGTATTTGTGTAGCTCTGCTGGATTGTCTGTAATAGCACATTGAGAGAGACCAAAATTTCTCAAAGAGAATCTCCCCCATAAGTTGTTGAGCATCAACTTCGCTTGTGTGCGTCTTCCTTTATTTGGTCCCATCTTGCTCCTCTCTATATTGATCCCAAACTTCTCTTTGCACTCATTGATGAATCTCTCCTCCTCCTCATAATTCCCCTTCATAGAGCTATCAAATCCTGAAGAATGAATTTTTGCTGCCATAAATTCACTAATGTATGGAGCAAATAATTTGTCGTCTGAACTGTCATACTCCAAAACTCTGAACACCTTGGTGATGATGTATCCTTCCTCTAGAGCCGCGTTTAATTCAAGTGTTGTGCATGTACTCACCCATCCACGTTGCAGGTCTGAGTGCGGGCAGGAGTAATTTTCATTTACTCCTCCTTCAGGGTACTCCCTAGCACATTGGGAGCAGAGAGGAAAGAGCAACCTCTCATCATCTTCTCCTACTTTCATTGGGAGCACAGGAATATCAATGCTCCTCGGAGGGATGACAAAGACTTTCAGAATAGCCAATCCAAAATTGTTATCCTCCGGCTTGCTCCAGTGAACATCCTTGTTGAGAATGTGGACCTTTGGGTGCCCCACTGGATATTTGGTAGTTACATTAATAAATGGGTACAAGGAGGTGACGTCATAATATGATATTTTCTCTCCTTCTTTTGGTGAGTAGAAAAGTTGAAGTGGGCCAGTACGTCCTCCAAAGAAGCATGCACGTAGATCAATTGGGCCATCATCCAAATACTTTTTGAAGGAGCTCCTCATCTCCCTGTCTTTTTCCAGCATACTCCTAATTTGACACTCCCAAAAGACTTGCACATTTACTCCTTGACTTTTGATGTATTCCATCCTCTTTGCATCTTTCTCCCGTTGTTTACCGGCTGAAATTCCATTAGGGAGAATAGTGTTGTCTTCCGGGTAGCATCTCTCACACCCATGCCAAACACAACCATTAATCTCTATCCCTAATTGCTCCTCCTCAATCCATCCATCCAACTTGAAGTTGTCAACCTTCTTCTCTCCTCCATCTGAATGAGCAGTTTGAATTTTTACTCCATGCTCCTCCTCATACCATTTCATAAATTTCAGAGCAAGTTTGCTCTGATTATCCACATTATCGTAGCCTTTCTCCGGAACAAGAGCCAAATGGTTTTCTTTCAGATGGTTAGTTCTAAAATGATTCATACACGCGGATGCAATTGTCATTGACTCCTTGAGCACGTCAATACCATTGTGTGCCTTAGTTGATGCAGCTCTTTGACAAGGAGCTCTCTTTGTAACATCCATAAATTCTCGTCTAAAAGCAATAAGAGCTGCTAGGAGTATTTCCACATCATTGGTGCAATATGCTGCCAACTCCTCATCCAAGAAGAATGGGAGCTCCTTGTGCTGATCATACCATCTATCGAATTCTTTTCTCTTCTCTGGCATCATCCCATCTGCGAAGTAGTCAGAGGGGATGGGAAACACCTCTTTTCCATAATTCTTAGGCTGATTGATGAGGTGGGGGAAGAAAGGCTTGTTCTCAACCTCGAGAGCAAAGGCTGGGACAAGAGATGCCAAAGACATTGGCATCAGGTTGAAACTGTCCCTAAAAATGAGCATACTCTTCTTTCCAATTTTTACCTTCATCTCATACATTTTATTTCCTCTCTTCAACATTTCAGGAGTAAAGCCCATAAGAAAGAGCTCCCTGAACACTATTACCATATCAAACCTCCCTCCGAAATGTGAAAAGGCGATGGTGTCGTAGTCTGTTGTTAATTCGATTATCCATCTGACAAAGGAGATGATTGGATCCTCGGTGACTTTCTGTAGATCCACGTGTGTTTTGGAAAATGGGCGCTCCGAGAAAGTTACAAGTTTGTTGCTCCCACAAACTTTGCACTGCTCCTGCTCCTCCTCAATACATTTGGGGCAAGTAACTCTTGCTGCTATGAAGTTTGCTTGATGATTTCTTTTGTTGTTTCCTGTTGTTACATGTTGCATGGTCTCGAGATCAAAAGCTACAAATCGATAGGGTTTTTGCTCCTTGGGCTCCAAAGGCTTAATGAAACATCCGCGCTTTGGGTCGTGGTATCCTGAGCAAGTTGAGCAATAGCGCTCATTACATGCATGCCCACTCCTACCTCCTCTGATGTTGTTGCCTATATCCCAAATCACTCCACACTTCTCACAACGTTTGGACTGTTGACAATATCGTGAACTCAGATGATGGTCGAAGCAATTTTCGTTGTTAAAGTTTTTGGAACAAACGGTACACTTTTTGAAAAAATTGTTTCTTGGAGGGCAGGGATAAATTGGCCCTACTCGGGAGCAATTCAAACATTTTGCACGGCATGATGCAGAATGTCGTTGAGGACGATTATAAACTATTTCACATTCCAAACAATACGGCTGCCCAAAGAGCCCCCCTGTGCTCGTTACACCGTTAAAATGAGAACCGTCAAAGTAAAGGAGCAAAGGCGAATTATAATTTTCGGGTCCGTATTTAAAACAAGGTTTATAGTGTCCCAAACAATCAAAAATAAAAACTTTAAAACAAAACTGGCCTGAATACATTTCATTCCAGAAGTCAACCACGGGAGGAACCCAAATTTCAGCATCATATTCTTTTTGTCCAAGAGGAGCTCCAACTTGTTGAATGAGCTCCAGAGTCTCTTGTTCAAATTGTTGTCTTGATCCATACCTCCCGTGGATATAATTGTAAAATTGAGAGCGTGACATAGTTCCGATGAGGCGTACGAGTGTTGCTAATAAAGAATAAAATAAGCAATAACCATCGTTGTTGTTGTTTATTTTGATTAAATTCTGCTCCTTTATTTGGTGATGTATAGGAGCAACTCTACGAGGAGCTCCTCCAATAATGTTGTTATCTTTGTTCAAATTCTTTTTATCTACAACCATAACATTAACTGAAAAGGGTTTTCCCCAAAGTGTAACACCCGCCTGCTTTTTACTTTGGGAAACTTTATTAAATTGATTAAGCAGGGTATTGAAGGTATTTTGTGATGAGGGCCTAAGAGGAATCCATATATCAGAATCTAATAACTCACTTGTTACTGTGCAGCTCAGCTCCTCTGGTTCAAGTCCATTTTTCTTCGCGTTGTTCATGGCCTCGTTGAAACAGTGTTGGAATACTCCAGATAATAGGGCCTCAGGGTCGGCCGGAATATTCTGAATAAGGAATTTGGTATAATTTTTGGTTATTTTGAATTTATTGATGAATTTTGTCGTATTTTCTAGTTGTTCAATATATTGTTGTAGATCAGTGCCTCCTCCTGATTGATCAATAGAAAGGAGGTTATCAATAAAGAACGCTCTTGCGCGTTTTGTTGGAGGAATATAGTCCATTATTGAATAAAAAATCCTATGAAAAAAGAGCTCCTATGAAAAAAGAGCAAAAATTTATGGGGAGCAAAAAGAGCTCCTATTAAAAGTAAATTGAGGAGCAAATGCAATTAATAAATATTTTAAATTATTTAGATTTTTTTAAAGTGAGTACAAATGAGAAATAAATTTTAAAAATCGTTGTATTTATATGAAATATTTTGGAAAACTTTTTATAGGCGGCAACTTCAAAGAGGTTTTAAAACATTAATTTGCATAAATTTAAGAAAAATAAGTTTTAATTTTAAAATATAGACGGCATCTTCAAAGAGGTTTTAAAACATTAATTTGCATAAATTTAAGAAAAATAAGTTTTAATTTTAAAATATAGGCGGCATCTTCAAAGAGTTTTTAAAACAAAAATTTGCATAAATTTAAAATATCGGTAACATCAAAGAGAAAATTTTAAAAAATTTTGAAATTTTTGAAGGATTAAGGTCAAATTTTAATTAAGGTCAAGGTCAATTATATTTCTGAAAACGAAAGTATTAAAAACAAAGAACAAATTTTGGGGGCTCAAAAAAATTGGGGATTGAAAATACAGAATTTTAATATTTTAATAAATTATCAGCTATCACTTTAATTAACGTAATCAGTAACAAATCATTATTAACATACAAAACATAATAATCACCGATTAGGGTAATCACATTTAGTAACATCTAGGGAAATTACCTCAATAACTTCTAGGGTAATCACATGATTATGGGTCTGTTTACAATGTGTTACCTAGTAATATACACACATCATCACGCTCGACAGTGGAGACTTTCTTTTGGTTGACCACTCATTATCTCTTACCCCTCCTCCCTCGCGACAGTGCCCACTCCCTTATCTTTACCGCTACATGCCCTCTCCCTTTTATCGGACCCCTCCACCCCGCGACAGTGCCCACTCCCTTTGAACATTGCCGCGGCATGCTCTCTCCCTTTTGGTTTTGTCGGACCCCTCCACCACTTGACGGGTAGTGGATTAGTAAAAAGCCGCGACGGTGACTGGCTGTTAACTACTTTTGGATTTTCCATTAAATTACCAAAGTTTTGGATGATTTCCTTTCTCAATAAGGGCAATTGCGTCCTGTAATTTGTCAGATTCGAGGGTTGATTTTATTGTTTTAAGTATCTTTATTTCAATTTCAACAAAAGAGTGACGGCTAACACGATCTGGCTCTTTAAAAATATCATCAAGCAGAACAAGGCGTACAACTAAATCTTTAAATTGACAAATACGTCCAATATGTGGAATTGGTTCATCTGTCTTTATTTTTAAAAATTAAATATGTCAAAATATAATAAATAAATACTTCAGTTCCTCTAACAATTACAAGTCTTTGTTTTTCCATTAATGCCAATAAATCATTTTTAGCATCATCCCATTCAACACTCCAAACTTCTCTCCTTTCAAAAGTTAAAATTGGTGTAAATATATTTTCTTTGGGTAAATCAATTAAACGTAAAACATTATATTTGCCTATTAAAGCTAATCTAGAACCATCACAATTAATTGTCATTAATTTTGGAGCTGGAATGTTTGACTTAAATGTTGATTGTAATTGGACATTAGGTAATGAAAAACGATAAAGTATTCCTGATTCACAAGCCTTTTTTTATTAAATATTTAAAAGAAAATATTTTAATTAAAATTACAATTAAAAAGAAATTAGCTGATGTAGCTATAGCACATATAGGATCTGTAGTTACTCCATTAGTTGGTTGTTGCTGCTTTTCTGTACGATGTTCATCTATATAATGAACTCTTAAAGAAATTTTTTTAGAAAATTTTATTTTCATTTTTACTTGTCATTCTGCTCTGTGGGAATATTTCTATTTGTATTTCCAGTTTTCTGAAACCCTGTAGAGACAGCTGTAGTATTTTCTTGACGTGGAACAGAATAATGCCAAACAATAAAAGATTCTGTAGAGGCAACAATTACCTTTTTGAAATTATTCTAGTTAATTTAAAGTATTTATTTACTAACAACACTAGCATTCATAGCAACAACGTTGCAAGGAACATTAGTTGTATGGCTATCTACTGGTGTTCCAATACTGTCACACAGTTGCATTGTATACTTAAAAAATATTTTGTACGAGATATTCCCAAAATTTTTTTATTCTATTAATTTAATTTTAATTATTTTATTAAAATCAAATTATTAACCGCTCCACGTAATTCTTCTGTTCTAAAAATTGTTACACAATAATCTCCATAAGATTTAAGTGAACAAAGATTTTGAACATAACGTTTAGTTTTTACTTCCATTTTTGTTTCATAAAATACTAAAACCTTCAACGAATATTTTTTAAAAAATATTTTAAAATAATCAAAAAAAACTTCTTGTAAAGAATCCAAGGTTTTATAAGCAAAAACTAGTGTTTGTCCACAATAAGTCCAACGATAAGGGAATTTAATAACGACTAAATAAATATTTGTGTCAATAAGAGCACCAAGTCTATGGCCAGAACTTTCCCAAGCAATCCCGGCAAAATGGCCAGGAGCCAAACGAATACTTTGGAGACGCTAAAAATAAATTTTTTACAAAAAAAAATATTTTTTTTCTACCTCTCCATAAGCAGAAATAAAATGTAAAACATTTCTTTCAGTTTCCGGTAAATCTAATTGTAAACCAGCAACGGCAAACATTGATCCATCTGGTGACCATTGTGCCATAATTATTAAAGTTGAAGGTAAACGGACAATACTTACACCTTCTTTAAAATATATTTTGGAAAAAAATTTTGAGAAAATATTTACTAGAAATATTTTCATTACACATTAATTGAATATTTCCATTTTGATAGGCAACAAGGAAAGGAGGCCTTCCTTCGGGAACTTTTAACCGAGATGCTGAATTATAAGATTCATCACCAGTTAGATTATAGGAAGTATCAGCATCTTAAAAGAAAAATATTTTAATGGATGGGATTGTTTGAAAGTCTATTTATTAGAGAACAGTTAGAATTTTCGAAATTTTCTCCTTCTATCAGACAATTAAATAATTATTAGTTACTTCTATATTGTTGTGTTAATGATTGGCCACCACCAACATTAGTAACAATTTTACTTGAGTGTGGAGGTACATACCATTCCATAGAAACAATTACATCTTTTCTGAGATCTTCTAAGTGAAATTATATTAATTAGGTAATTAAAAATTATTTAATTTTCACTTGAAAGTGCCGTTTCTAATTCTAAATTTTCAACACAAAGCATTTTAACTTTACTAACAAAATCGCCATATTGACTATATGCATGAACCTCGCCATCAGCAAAACCTTTAAAAAATAATTATTTTAAATTTAAATTAATAAATTAATAACCAAGTAATAAAAGTGTATCGTCAGTATTCCACTAAAAAATTAGAATATTTATTTTAATTAGAATTGATATTTCTTTATAGTTAACGAGAATCCCATTTTTAATAATTAAAAAAAATATTTTTTTAAATAATAAAATAATTAACTGCAATTTTAGTCAGAGATCCACCAATATCTTTATTCCAAAGACGATTTCCATCTACTGAACCAATAATTACTTGTCCTATATTTTTTAAGAATTTTTTTTTAAATTGTATAATTTCCAGAATTACCATCTTCATAAGCAATGGCAATTTTCATTCCATCATTTGACCATTTTAAAGAAGATACTGTTGATTTTTGTCTATTATTAACCATTTCCTCGAACCAAGATTCGTCTGGTCTAAATTTAAATTATTTTAAATTTGATTTTTAAAATAACCCGTGTGTCATCCAAACAATAATAACACCAGCATCGTCTGTAGAGGCTAACTTTTGATAAACTTCATTCCAACTTAAAACTCTAACTGAATAAAAATAAATTTCAAAAATTCTTCTAATACAATATTCATACCACTAGAAGAGTGGCCTTCAAGCTGTTGACTTGATAGCCAAGGATTTAATGATGAGGGAGGATTTGATTTGTCTTTTAAAAAAATAACTAGAAAATATTTTATTTATTAATTACCCTGATCAAGATTTAATAACATAACACGCAAAGCTCCATCGCTACCGCCAACAGCTACATAACCTCTATTTAACATCCAAGAAATACATGTAAATGTTGTGGAACCGGGTGTTTGGATTTGGAACTTAAATAAGAATAAATAAAAATTAATTTAAAAAAGAAAAACTTATTTATAATTTCCATAATTAATATTTTAAAATACCTTTCTTGCTGGAAAAACATACATATGATTTTGCATTTTAAAAAATAAAAATAATTATTTTTAATATTTTTATTATTTTTATTTATTTAAGAAATAAATAATATTTTAATATTCAAAATATATTTAAAATAAAAAATATTTAAAAATTAAATTTAGATTGTTGCCATGGCTACAATTAATGAACAAGTTTATTATTTTTAGAAACAAATGATTATTATTGACAAAAATGTTTTACTAGTGATTTTGAATAAATAATCTAAAGAACAAAAATCTTCTAAATTTATTTAAATCTATAAATAAATCCATTCAAATACACAAATATATGTATAAGTGTTCTAATTGAATGTGTGTTCTAATTGAATGTTTTTTTAAAACTCGGAAAATTTTCAGTATTTTTTATAACCTTTTTTATTTTGCAGTATTTTTTTTATAACTCGGAAAATTTTCCCGAGTCGGGAGTCAGGATCGGGATACCCGAGCATCAATAATACACGTACTTTCATTTTATTTTTAATTCCTTAGAAATTAAAAAAATCTTAGTAAAATTTTTATCTTACTAATTACAATTTTTAAATCAAAAATTTAAAATTACTATAAAATAAAAAAATATGTTAATTATGTACAAATAGAAATTGGAAATAAAATTATGGATGCATATATATTGCGGATTAAAAATACATACAGAAATGTATTAATTTTATACATTTATTTAGTCAAGTCCTTAGAAAAAATTTTTGTTTAAATAATATTTCTTTGATCACTTAATATGCATATAAACAAATTTCTTATCCAACATTAGTAATTCCATTATTTGTTTTTGTAATTGTTTTAGTATTAACAGTTAATGTATTTTTATTTGTTAAAGTAAATACTTTTGCTGTATTTTTATTATTTTTTGAAAATAAATTAAAAAACCATTTAAATTCATCTTTTAACGCCAAACGATGTTCAGTACTTTAAAAAAAAAATTTTCAAAATGAAATAATTTTTTTGAAATCAAATACCTAACAATAAAAATAGCCGGCACTTCAACTGATGAACTTAAAGAAGAAGCTACATTAATTATACAACCAATTATTTGTGATTGTTCTGCAGTGAAATTAGAAGAAATTTGATTAAAAATATTATAAACAATTAATGTAGAAATATATCCGCCAATTTGTATTCCCATAATTAAAGCAAGTGTTTTATATATAGATTTACGTATTGAACAACCTTTAAATAAATTTAAATATACTGGGTGAATTATATTTTAAAAATAGGTATAGATTTGACAGGCTAAACATTAATAACACTAAAAATTCATTTTCCAACACAAAAAATATAAGCTTAATCCTTCTATGGTTTTTGAATTTTCTTGGAACTGTAACACGGTCCAAAGTTGAGTTCCAAAAGAAATTTTTTATTCGATTCAGCTCTTCAAGTTATTTCGAATGACATTTGTGGATTTTAGAATATGGGGGCTCAAAGCCAGTTTTAACATTTTCTTTTATCTTTCCAATATTTATTTTAATTACCTTTTCCTTTCTTCTGATCATAAATTAATTTAATTAACATAAGAATATAACATCCCAAAGTCATAAACATTAATAATAATTGTGTCATATCGAAAAAATTTTGTCCATCAATTCCAACCAAATCAGGAAAGAAACACTGGATTTGTCTTTAAATTTAAAAATATTTAAATTTAAATAAAAGAAAACATACAGAAAAGGGTCTTGTATTAATGAACGAATTACAAAACATAAAAATATGAAGGGAAATGATAAAGAAAGTGAAAATAATAATTTTAAATAATTTTTGTCACTTCGTGTTGAATACCTAAAAAATAATAATTTTTATAAAAATTTATTTTTTATTTTAATTTAATTACCAAATAGGGCAAAATATCCCCAACATTCTGTCAATTCCAATAACCAACATTAAACTAAAAACATTTAAACAACCACCAATTGGAATTATTTGAATTAAAGCACAAAATAAACGAGGGATTTTGCCTGTTCCAGGTAACATAAAAACAAAATAAGGCAAAATAATTTGGATTTTTGAAAGGAGAGAACAAAAAGCATAAATGCCAATTAATATTTGACAAGTATTGTGTAAACGTCTAAAATTAAAAAATTGTTTTTAATTTATATTTTAGATCATTTTTTAAATTTATTGACGAAGGTTTTTTTGTTAATTTAAATTTTATTTAATTAAATTATTTATAAATATATTGCTTATTAAAATGTTAACTAGAATATCATGTTTTTAATAAATTTGTTTTTTCAAATTTCTGGCTATTTTATTACAAAAACTAATATTAGCTTTTAATTTTTAAAAGTTTGAGAATATTCTTTTCAACAATTTTTAAAAATATTTTTGAATTCTTACTTTTGTTTAATTGTAGCAATAATTAAACAAGCAAATAAAAAAGTTCCAATTTGATCTACACAAGTATTTATTGTCCATGTTGCTCTAACAAGTGGAGATTCTCTTGGATCTGACATTTTTTAATGAAAGAATTTTTTAAATGAAAATTTTTAAAAATTTAAATGAATAATGAATAAAGTGAATATTCATTGCTTTATATCGTGAAAAAGGAAGTGGAAGAATGTTGCACTTATTTTAATTTTAAATTATCATGAAAATCACCCACATAAATACAAAAATTATTTAAAAATTACCAAGAAAGTATTAATTATTCATTCATTCAAATATTTTTAATTAAACTCTAATTTTTAATCCCAATTATTTTGTTTAATTTATAAGTAAAAGTAATCTAAATATTTTAATACGTCAAGCATAAACTTATAAAATATTAATATATTCATTAAAATATTTTAATTGGCTACATAAAGTTATTTTATACTTTAATAGTTAAGGTTCTCTTTTTTTATTGTATGTATTTTTAATCTTTTTTAAATAACCGATTTTTATAGCCAATTTTTGGCTTTTTCAGACCTGACAGGAAATAAAAAGTTATAGCAACTTTTAATTTTCAATAACAAGGCGAGAAAAGTTTTTTTACGATTCATTAGTAGAGATTGTAGAGACGAGACGAGATCTCAATCGAAAATTTCAATTATCTAGGTCGAGATTTTTGTATCATCAGTAAAGTCCCCTATTCGTTATTGTCATTTAAATCTAGGTATATATGGCATTTGGATAATGACTTTAACTAAAATTAAAATTATTTAAACATAATTTGTCAACAAAAAATTATTAAATTAATTTAACAAAATTTTCAAAATAATTTAAAAGAAATCATTTAATTTAGTAATTCTTCTCCTTTTTTTACAATTTTTGTTGGCTTCTTTCCATCCGCAAATCCCATTCTACCATTAACCCAATTGAGAGAAACACAACGATTACGTAAAAATACTTCTCCCATATTTATATATTTATTATCATAATTCATTTCTTCATTTGTAACAAAAAGTAATAAACATTCATTTCCATATTCTGTCTGAAAATAAATTTTTTTTTAAAAGTATGTACATATTTCGAGTAAAATCTAAAAAAACAGAGTTAGTTCTTCAATAATTATAATAAATTTTGGGATCTCTCTTGCAGAATCTGTCATTATATGAAAGGGACATAAAAGTTAAACTACTATAATGATTTTCGGGTGTAATTAGTAGGTAGGTATTTCTGTTAGAAACTACTAGACAACCTCCAAATTCTCTTTATTTTTAATTAAAATAAAATCTTCCAAAACAAACAGGAGCAATATATTGATATGGAGCTAATGTAATTGTTGTTGTGATAATTTCTTTTGGATTTGTTGAATGTTTACTGCCAATTTTAGGTCCCCCAAGTATAAAAGTTATTGTTGGTTTTGGCTTTTTACATTCTGTTATGTTGAGTTTGTAGAAGCCGCCAATCTTTATTTAAAATTTTAATTTAAATAATTTTATGTTTTCTCACTTCTTGTGGAATTTCTGCATTTAAAATTCCAGCCAAATTATCCAAATCCCCCTTTGGCATATACATATAAAATCCATCCTCTACAATTCTAAACATTTTAGATTTTGTATTTTTCTTTAAAAAATTATAATTATTTTTATTTCTCAATTAAAAAATAAAACTAATTGTTTATTTCCACTCAATTCAATTTTGTTTATTTCTACAGACCATTGATTACTTTCAGCTAATTCAACATACTTGTATGGGGGAATACAATTTTCAGTATTTTCCTCTCCAACTGTAAGTGTTCCGATATTTTGGTTGTCTGTATCTGCTCCTCTTTTTTTTGAAAAGAAAATTTAAAAATTAATTCTTTTTTTGATAATAAGTATAAGTAAAAATTATTTGAAATTTCCTCACATGTTTGTTACTAGAGATCGCTATTTTTGAAAAGCCTGGACTCTGGGGTATTTATTGACCTGGGCCAGATCCTGGGCCTGTAGTACAGGAAACCCCCAGGCCAGGAAAACCCCAGGCCTTGGTATAGGCCCAGCTTGATCTCTATTTGTTACCACATTTATCTAATAAAGAACTTAAAAATTGTTAATTTGCATAAACTTATTTCTAATTTTTAAATGACAATAAAAAATTTTAAACAAAACACTTAAAGCTTTATTTTTCATTATTAAATTAAAGCCTCACCACTTTTTTAGTTTTAAATTTAAATATCTAAAAATTAACTTACAAATCATTTATTGTATAAATTGTAACTATAGGTTTAGATAAATATTTAGTTAATAAATTTAATGTTGTAGGTATTTTATTTTTATCATTTAGTAAAGGTGCTAATCCAAATTCCCCATCAATTGGGCAATAAACATCCTTTCCAGTTGTTGGGATATATTCTATTGGAATTCCTTTTATTGCCGAAGCTATTGTTATATTCTTTATTTTAATTCCACCAATCTATTTTTATTTTTAAAAAATAATTTTTAATTAATTAATTACCTCAATATTATCCAAATAAAGATCACTTTCTATTGAATTAATTGAATCAACAGAAAATGTTAATGTTTTATTTAAGGAATGGAAAGAAGAAGATTCTCTTCAAAAAATATTTAATTAATTAATAAACACTCATTTTTTACAAATATAAACTAGGGTAGCACCAAGTCCCCCGAACCTCCTACCCCGATTATTTTTTGGCAAAAATCCCGACCCAAACCCCGAAGGCTCTACTCCGGCAAACTCCGAAACCCGACACTCCCGACCCCTAAGGCCCTAGTATAGACTATCTAAACTAATGTATTAATAACAACATTCCTTCTAAAATATCAATTTAAAAATATTTTAATTAAATTTAATTTGACAAACTCGAAAAAAATTTTTCTAATATTTTTCTCTTATCACAAATTAAACTAAAAATTTTGTGAAGAAATAAACTAGCGATGGGTTTGACCACTGGGGTGGATATCAGGACACTGTGGCGGTTAAATTTTGCTTTGGGTTTAAATTTGGCTCTGCCCGTTCGAAAGCCTACGGCTTTGGGGGCGCGCTTCGCGCGCCGCTAGCGATTTTTTATGCCTGGAACAAAAGATTAGCCTTCATTGGGACTCATCCTTCCACTTAGAGTCACTTCGCCTTCGGCCCTCGTCTTCTCTTTTAGATGGGTGTCAGCTTGGGCCTTCAGCCCTCGTTGTCTCTTTTAGATGGGTGTTAGCTCGGGCCTCCGGCCCTCGACCTCCCTCTTAGATGGGTGTCATCACGGGCCTTCGGCCCTCGCCCTCCCTTTTGGATGGGTGTCAGCTCAGGCCTCCGGCTCTCGCCCTCCCTTTTAGATGGGTGTCAGCTCGGGCCTTCGGCCCTCGCCCTCTCTTTTAGATGGGTGTTAGCTCGGGCCTCCGGCCCTCGACCTCCCTCTTAGATGGGTGTCAGCACGGGCCTTCGGCCCTCGCCCTCCCTTTTGGATGGGTGTCAGCTCAGGCCTCCGGCTCTCGCCCTCCCTTTTAGATGGGTGTCAGCTCGGGCCTTCGGCCCTCGCCCTCCCTTTTGGATGGGTGTCAGCTCAGGCCTCCGGCTCTCGCCCTCCCTTTTAGATGGGTGTCAGCTCGGGCCTTCGGCCCTCGCCCTCTCTTTTAGATGGGTGTTAGCTCGGGCCTCCGGCCCTCGACCTCCCTCTTAGATGGGTGTCAGCACGGGCCTCCGGCCCTCGCCCTCCCTTTTAGATGGTTGTCAGCTCGGGCCTTCGGCCCTCGCCATCCCTTTTGGATGGGTGTCAGCTCAGGCCTCCGGCTCTCGCCCTCCCTTTTAGATGGGTGTCAGCTCGGGCCTTCGGTCCTCGCCCTCTCTTTTAGATGGGTGTCAGCTCGGGCCTTCGGCCCTCGCACTCTCTTTTAGATGGGTGTTAGCTCGGGCCTCCGGCCCTCGCCCTCTCTTTTAGTTGTGTGTTAACTCGGGCCTTCGGCCTCGACCTTCATTTTAGATGGGTGTCAGCTCGGGCCTTCGGCCCTCGCACTCCCTTTTAGATGGGTGTTAGCTCGGGCCTCCGGCCCTCGCCCTCCCTTTTAGATGGGTGTCAGCTCGGGCCTTCGGCCCTCGCGACTCCATTTAGATGGGTGTCAGCTCGGGCCTTCGGCCCTCGCACTCCCTTTTAGATGGGTTTTAGCTCGGGCCTCCGGCCCTCGCCCTCTCTTTTAGTTGTGTGTTAACTCGGGCTTTCGGCACTCGACCTTCATTTTAGATGGGTGTTAGCTCGGGCCTTCGGCCCTCGCACTTCCTTTTAGATGGGTGTCAGCTCGGGCCTTCGGCCCTCGCGACTCCTTTTAGATTAAGAATGGTAACGTAAACCTATGGAGCGTTGGCGAGGCGCTTGTGCAAAACCCCGCGCTTCGCGCGGGGTTTTGCGGCACGCGCCTCGCGGGTCGTCAAAGGTCGCTGGCTTCTGGGCTCGTAACATGATCCTATTCCTATAACTATTATGTTGCATGCCGGGCTTCCTATGCAGCAGCTCATCCACTCATATGCAGCAGCTCATCCACTCATCCTTCCAATCAAAGGTTCTGGGCTCGTAACATGATCCTATTCATATAACGATTAGGATAGGACATCCTTCCAATCAGAATCACACTATGCCGTCGGCCCTCTTCTTCTCCCAGTTGGGACTTCGACCCTCGTGTTCCCTCAGTTGGCACTAATTCAACTACCTAATCAAAATTTTAAAAGCTGAAGCAAAATTGCTTCTAAAATCAAAAATAAAAAACTTGAAGCAAATTTGCTTCAAGTTTCAAAAATTTCAAAACCTGAAGCAAATTTGCTTCAAGTTTCAAAAATTCAAAACTCAAAGCAAATTTGCTTCAAGTTTCAAAAATCCAAAACCTGAAGCAAATTTGCTTCAAGTTTCAAAAATCCAAAACCTGAAGCAAATTTGCTTCAAGTTTCAAATATTCGAAACTGAAGCAAAAATGTGAAGCAAAAGCATCTTATGCTTCGGATCCATAACAGGATCCAGCTTATCCAACCTCAAAATTTTTCTCTATATACAAAATTCACCTTTAAACTCTTCTACGGTTTGCCCCGTATGGTCAGAGACGCAGAATAATTTTGCTTCTCTTCCAAACATTTCACCTGTCAATCATTTTTTCTCCCTCCCTCCCATCATTCTCTGGGTACGGTACTCCACCCCACAAATTTTCGAACCTCTGTATGTTCGTTAAAATGTACCGACAAAATTCGAAAAAAATATTTTTAAATTCATCACGATGAGAGCTTTCGAATGATATATCATTTGACATATCTATCTTGATTTTTGAAATTATAATTTTTTCCCCGGAAATTTTGGCCGAAAAAAATCCTTAAAATTTTCAAAAAATCATAACTTGCTTAAAGTTAGCCTTTTTTGAAAATTTTTAAATTCTATCCGATGCAGAAAAATCTGCTCAATTCAGGAAAAATATAATCGGCACGAAACAAATGCAAAAATCCCGAAAATTTTTTAAAAAACAGAAAAATTTTGGGTTTTTCGAAATTCGACCCCTATACCCCAAGTTTCGACTTTTTTCGAAATTTTTTGGGCTAAAAAAATTTCTAATTTTTTGCTCTATTTTATAATGCAAACCCTATCCCAATACAGCCATCACACAAAAAGTTATGGCGATTTAAATAATCCCGAAAATCCCCCAAAAGGGGTACCCCTTTAAAAATAGGGGGTGGGACAAAATTTTCAAATTTTGACCCAAAAAACGACCTATATGGTACTCTGACATGCGCTGAGTACGAATCCGGCGTCAGAAAAATTTTAAAAAATTTCCCCAGGAAGTTAAAATCTCATGAAGTTTCGCGACATTTGCGAACATTGACCATAACTTTTTGAGACTCAAGTGGACCCCCAACATATTATACCTTTTTCGGAGCCCCTCATTATCCCCTCTTGAATGACTACTCAATCACCGATATCCACTTCAATCTCAAATCCCAAAAATCCCGGATTTCGAAGTTCGAACTCCGAACTTCGACTTTTCGGCTTTATCCTTTATCACATTCAACTCCACTCATTATCCCCTCTTGAATGAGTACTCATTCATCCTTATCCACTTCAATCTCAAATCCCGAAAATCCCGGATTTCGAAGTTCGAACTCAGAACTTCGAATTTCGACTTTATCTTTTATCCCATTAGACTCCCCTGATAATCCCCTCCTGAATGACTACCCACTTGCGAATATCCCCAAACCCCGAAAATACCGGATTTCGAAGTTCGAACTCCGAACTTCGAATTTCGACATTATCCCTTATCACATTAGACTTTCCTGATAATCCCCTCTTGAATGACTACCCACTTGCAAATATCGCCAAACCCTGAAAATACCGGATTTCGAAGTTCGAACTCCGAACTTCGAATTTCGACATTATCCCTTATCCCATTAGACTCCCCTGATCATCCCCTCTTGAATGACTACCCACTTGCCCATATCCCCAACCCCTGAAAATCCAGGATTTCGAAGTTCGACTTCGAACTTCGACTTTAGCCATGATCCCTTATCCCACTGAACTCCCCTCATTATCCCCTCTCGAATGACTACCCTCTTGCCCATACTTCCCAACCCCGAAAATACCGGATTTCGAAGTTCGAACTCCGAACTTGGAATTTCGACATTATTCTTTATCTCATTATACTCCCCTAATCATCCCCTCTTGAATGACTACCCACTCACCCATACTTAGAAATCCCGAAAAACCCGGATTTCGAAGTTCGAACTCCGAACTTCGACATTCGGCGTTATCATTTATCCCATTAGACTCCCCTCATTATCCGCTTTCGAATGACTACTCATTCGACCATATTCGAAAATCCCTAAA